CTCTGCCTCTCTGCCTCTCTGCCTCTCTGCCTCTCTGCCTCTCTGCCTCTCTGCCTCTCTGCCTCTCTGCCTCTCTGCCTCTCTGCCTCTCTGCCTCTCTGCCTCTCTGCCTCTCTGCCTCTCTGCCTCTCTCTCTGCCTCTCTCTCTGCCTCTCTCTCTGCCTCTCTCTGACTCTCTCTGTCTCTCCCTGCCTCTCCTTGTATCTCTCTCTCTGCCTCTCTCTCTCTCTCTGCCTCTCTCTGGCTTTCTCTGCCTCTCTCTGGCTCTCTCTGCTCTCTCTGCCTCTCTCTGGCTCTCTCTGCCTCTCTGCCTCTGCCTCCTCTGCCTCTATGTGCTATGATTAAAGGTTTGTATAACACACTCCTTTTTCTTAAAAATTATGGAGAACCCCCAAAGCCATCTTTTGGTGTTTAATGAGATTTACCATTGATTATAAATTAAAGCTTCAAGCATTTAGAATATTTATCCATTAAAAGTAGTAGCGACAAATTCATCTCTATCACAAGTGCTACGTCCTAATGGAAAATAACAATATTTTCTAAAATAAAATTAAAGGGAAAGATACAATCTTGCTTTACCTTCTCACAAATGTCATTTCTCTCCTACTTGGTCGAAGTCGCAGACTGCCCTGTTTACCTCTGAGTTCAGTCTGCTGTGATGTCACAGCCCATGGGCATCTGTGAATCCCACTGAACACTTTTGGGCAGAGGAAAGAGAAAAAGGGCAAATGATATTTCAGGATTGTTTTGAGAATAATTTGTCTGTGGTGGCATATGTGTGTGTGTGTGTACACACACACACACACACACACATATATATATATATATATTAAACAAAAGGCAAACATGTGTACTAATTTATTTATTATTTAGGTTAGCATACAAAATGATGGGTCTCAACATGGCATCTTCATACTTACATACTATATTTTTGCTCATCCCCTCCCCTCTTGTAGGAGTTGGTTCTCTCCTACACTGTGGGTCCCAGGATGGAACTCAGGCCATTAAACTATAGGACAAGGATATTTGTCCACTGAACCTTCTCACCAGCCCTCCTTCCCCCCTTTTTTGTATTAGAAATTGATTTCTTTCTTCATTGTTTGAGACAAGGTTTTGCTGTATAGCTCAGGTGAGTCTTGAAGTCACTAGGTAAGGGCCAACAGGATGCCTCGGTGGATAAAGGTCCTGACCAGGCACCAGGACCTGAGTTTGATACCCAGAACCCGTACAATAGTAAAAAGAGAGAACCAACTTTTCAAGTTGTTCTCTGATGTCTATATGTGCAGATTCTATAACAGAACTAACACTAGGTAAAATTAGAAAGAGGAAATTGCTATGTTGGCCATGAAGGTAGGATGCTGTGACTACAGGCATTGGACCACGCCCAGATGATTTCTCATTTCTGTCATTGAACTATACATCATAATTTGTTTCCATTTGCCACCCAGAATGGAGTTAATTACACGAACAAACACTCCAATGTCTCATTAGGCTTCTGGCCTTTCTTTCCCAGAGTTTCCTCTCCCTAAACACTGTCTCTGGGCAGAGAGAACTGGCCACTTGAGATGTCAGGCACTATAGCAGAGAACAGCGTGGTTAATAAGTACTGGTTCTAAGCTGCCATAGAGACCCCATTGCTGTACGAGATGGGGAACCAGGAAGAGATAAGAAAGTATGTAGAACCATGGATGAGCCACTGAGACTGAACATGTCTCAGTCCTGGGTCAACTGTTTTGCTTTTACAAATGAGCTGGAAGAAGAGGGTCTGTTTTTTTTTTTTTTTCCCAGTCATTGCATTTCCCGGGTCTATAGAATGTGTTCTAGTTTCATTTCTGTTTCTGTGATAACATACTCTGACACAAAGCAATTTAGGGGAAAAAGAACTTATTAGCCCACAGGTCCAGGTTATAGGCCATCATGGCAGGAAAGTCTAGGCAGGAACTTGAAGCAGTTGTTCATGTCCAGTCAAGAGCAGAGAGCAATGAATGTAAGTGTTCCTGTCAGTGCTCAACTGGCTCCCTAAACTTAATGCCGCCCAGGATGCCCTAACTAGGGATTGGTGCTGCCCACAGTGGACTGAAACTTTCCATATCAACTAGCATAATGAAGACAACCCTGGACAGACGTACCCATAGACCATACTAATCTGGATAATTCTTTATCAAGAGTCACACAATCCAAGATGATTATAGATTATGTCAGGTTGACAATTAAAACTAATCACAGTATTGGACATGATGGAACAGGATTTGAATCTGAACACTCAGGAGGCAGAGGCAGGTGAAATCTCTGTGTGGGGATAGCCTTGCCTACATAGTAACTTCCAGGCAAGCCAGACTTATAGATGATACCCTGTCCCAAAGAGTCACAATGTGTATCACTATATTAGATGTTTAATTATTTTTTTAATTTTACATTAGCGGACCATTCTTCATGTCAGGAATTATCCAGCCATTGGTGGCATCTTGTAAACCAATATCTACTTCTGCATGGAATCTATCCCTTAGGACAATTCCAGAGGACCAGAATGAAGAGTCAGATGACTATCAGCTCATGTTCAAGCACTTCAAAGAAAACAAGGTGGAGATAGCAAGCGCTATCACCAGGCCATTTCCTTTCCTTATGAGCCTTCGAGACAGAGACTTCATCTCAGAGCAGAAGTTTCAGGTGAGTGTGGAGAATGAACTCAGCCTGACAGCAAGCCTGCCCCAGGCTGTATCATGCTGAAACTCTGGGTGCAGCCAACAGGTTGAAGCACCTCCAGGGAGGAGGGGACTTCACTTCTTGTAAGTCAGAAGGTAACTGGAGAGGCAGACATCACAGGAACCATTGACATCCACCTCTGTAGTAACTGAGGCTGAAGCACATGGTGACAGCAATGGGTAGCAAGCAGGAATGCTTCAAAGTGCAGAGCACCCCAGGGCCACTTGTGCAATGTAATGGCAGAAACTAGGATGCAAGTAGACACACCTAAGCAGCACTGCCTTACAAGGCCTACTTACTCCAAATCCTGGAACTTAAGGGTTTTGGAAGTCACAGGCAGTTGGGTCATGTGAGGATAAAACTTGGGGAGTCCTATTTGCTTCCCTCTCTTCAAGTCGTTCCTGGTTCTTCAGGCACCTCTGAAGCCTTAGAATGTGGTAAAGGTCAGTGATGGGATGCCCTGGTGATAAGAAAGACCTTCTCTTCTTTATACATTCTCTTTGCCTGGTGTCTAGGATGCTTACTTGGTTAACTCCAGCCCTTCAGACCAACTCAGTCTTCAGGGAGTTAATTGTCTGGCCCCCAAGACCACCATTCATGGTCTGTTAGGGCCTGGCTCTTACAGACATATCATTTGATCCTTCTTCAAACCCTCTCTTCCCTGTCTACTGTTTGTCAGCATCAGAGCTGCTTTCAGATGAGCAGGGGCCCATTAGTACAGAGGACATGCAAGATGCCACCTTGCTATTTGTAAAACTCAGACATTTTACAAGAAAAGAAATGGCACTTGAACTAATCCAAGTCTCATATAACCCATAAATCCATCATGACATAATTCTGCATTCAATATTTTAAGGAATGTGAAGAAACATGTAAGAACCTGGTTCCAGTGGACAGAGTGGTATATGACATCCTCAGTGAAGTACAGAAGAAGTTTAGCCGGGATCTTCTGAAAGTGATATTCAGCAAAACACATCTGAAGGCCTACCCCGACTTAAAGGAGACTCTAAAACACTTCTTCCAAAATGGTAACTATAGCTCTCACCTGCTTCAGGGAATAAAAAACAAATTCATTCATTTATTCACCCATCCATTCATTCATTTTTTTCATTGATAGTTGACATATAATTTAATGAGAGACTATGTCATGCCAAGCACAGGGGGCTTAGGAAACACATATGGCCCATGTAGTCAGGAGCTGACACATAGGCCATGTAACTCAGAGATAACTGCTCAGCCAGGACCTGATTTTCATGCTATAAAAGACAGTATGAAGGATGAGTTTCCTTAGACAGGAGCCAGCTCTCTCTGATGCTTACAGACATTTGCAATGGTAAAAATGCAAAATTTATCATTCAGCAGAGTAGAAGAATCACAAGGGGAGCCCAGGTTGGGCCCAGACACTGTAGGGCAGCAGGTGTAAGCCTAGAGTGTAAGAACAGGATGGGCTTTTAGAACCAATGTGCTGGCACATGGCATGAACATAGAGACACAGGTCCTGGGTAGAGAACAGCCTCTGTTATTCCCGTTCGTTCCCTGTAGCTTCAGCTCTGCAGTTTCTCTACCTCTGGAGGACTCGCCCTTGCAGAAGGTACATCTCATCAGTTCTTGTGAAGACTGTTTCTGCAGGATTTGGGTGTGGTTCTGTTCTATTGCTGGGTCATTTTGAAATGCAGCTCTGAGGGTTGAGAGCTAGTGCCTCACTCCTCACTTGCCATCCGAGGGTCACTGATAGCCCAGCCACTCCCTGTGCTGCTTGAAGAAAGCAGCTTTTCAGTTTCTCCTTACTCATCCTGCCTGGGGAAGCACTGCTTCCTCTTCAGGGCTGTGCGTCTCTGTAACCAGAACAACTTCCCGGACTCAGTCTGAGCAGAGTCTTGTTATTTCTCTCTCTCCATCCCTCTATTTCTTCTTTCTTGCATCCTTGAAGGATAGTAGCTTTTCCCTTCCCTCTCGATCCCTTCCCTTCTCCTCTCTCCCCCCCTTCCCTTCTCCTCTATCCCTCCTTTCCTCCCTCCCTCTCTCTTTTCCCTCCTTTCCTCTTCCCCTTCTCTTCCCTATCACTCCTTCCCTTCCCTCTTCCTCCCTCTCCCTCCCTTCCTCCTTTACTTCTGTCTCTCTAAGCCTTCCTTTCCCCTACAGAAGCCCCTTCCCTCCCTCCTTCCCTCTCCCTCCCTCCTTCCTTCACTCCTCTCTCTCTAAGATTTCCTTTCCCCCCTACAGAAGCCCTCTGCCCTTCCTGTCATAGTTGTGTCACTTGTAAATGCCGTCTGCCTTTACTTTAAGTCATAATTGGCCTTCACTCTCCTCTGATCGTTTTGAAGAGATATAAACCATGATATAAATGTTCCCACTGCCTGTCTGTCTCTAACCTTCCTGAGTACCAGACGGGTTAGAAGGCTGAACAGAAACACCAGAGTCCAGTGTGCAGCTGGATGTATAGCTGAGATGCAGCTTGGCTCACAATTGAAATCCCCAATATCTTTCTTTCCCTTCTCCTTGTTCATGTCTACTTCTGTTACCTGCTCCCCAGAGAAACAGCAGCGAAGACCCGAGGTTCAGCACCCACTCAAGCCTTGAGCAAGCCAGTGATACCTCCACAAAGTCTTATTTTTTTACATCAAATGGTTACTCAAAAAGTTCCTGCAAATCATATCATTTATCTACATAAGCTTGCAAATTTAGAAGGACAAACTCTGTATCATTTCATAATGCTTTATGCCATAGAAGAAAAGCACGGGGGACCAAAGATGAGAAGAAAGTAACAGAAGTGAGCAGAAAGAAAACAGACAGAGCAAGATTTTGAGTGGGTGGGGTGAGCATCTCAGAGGAGGTGAAGTAACTCACCTGTGTGCTGAGTGCCAGAACACAGAGAGAGTGCTTGGAGGTCTCTGCTCCATCACTGTCTGATTTGGTCATTGTCTTGTCTCTCCTCAGTTTCTGACAATCACAGGACTCATCAGAGTATGAATGGAAGAGATGTTGAAGAGAGGCCCAGACTGCCAGCAATCGTTAGGGAAGGTGATTATGTTTTTTAAAACACCAATTAACTCACTGATACTATTTTCCTGCCTTAATCCTTCTCTAATGCCCATTCCCAACACGCACGCACACAGAGAGAGAGAGAGAGACTCCCCGACATATAAGCATGTAGCCATCCATCTATCTACTAGTCTATCCAACTATACACCTATCCCTTTACTCACCCACATACAAATACAAACATCTAGCTACCCATATGTCTGCCAGTCTATCTGTCTATCTGTCTATCTGTCTATCTATCTATCTATCTATCTATCTATCTATCTATCTATCTATCATCTATTCATCCATGCATGCATTCATGCATCCATTCATCCATCCAACCACTCATTCATTTCACTTCTCCTGATCCTCTCCATAGATGACTTCTCATGATTCTCCATAGAATAAGTTCAATATTTGAATTTTCTCAGCAGACACAAGCAGTACAGAAGCCTCATGTCAAGCTGTTTGAGATCTGTCTTGAGTATAGACCATACACAAGAGAAGAAGGTTGAGAACTATAGATGCAGCCAAGGATCTTGAGTTATGAGTGACAAGTGTTTCACCTAACTAGACATGTCACCATTTGGGGTACACTACCAAGGAGCGCTGATCTCCTTCAGCCACTTTCCCTATGGTTGGGCCAGGATGGTTGGGACATGATGAATACAACAGAAAGACTTCTGACGTGGACTTAGGAAAGGAGTCTGCTCTTTGTCCACAGTGACCAGAGACTTTTTATGATATGAAAGGATGATTAGCAGAACATACAGAAAGAGAGGAGATGAGATGTTCAGATTCAACTTTGTGGGAAGAAGCAAGAAACAGCAAGCTAACCAAAAAGGCCAGATTGAGCTGGGGAAATGAACACTATGGGAGAAAGGGCTAGACTCACTTACAAAATGAGGCGCAGAGTTTAGAATGAGATGCTAATAGGTAGCATAGACGAATTATCAGCCCTGCACACAAAGAGGAAATAAAGAAGAATGAGTTAAGAGCCAATAGGAGTCCTGTTAAATGACACTTGCTGCCAATTCTAATGACCCGAGTTTGCTCCCTGCCACTCACAGCTATACAGTAGAGGGCTGACTCCTATAATTTGCCTTCTGACCTCTACCTGGTGTCCTGGTATGTGAGACACTCTCCCACCCCAAAATCAATGTATCAACAGCATCAGCAACAACAACAACAATAAAAATAACAATAAGTTAACAGCAAAACTTGCCTTCTGTGAAGGGAGGAAACAGCTTGAGACTTTGGAGGGACTGAGTGAGGAGCTGAATCCAACTTCTGCCCTAAGGTGAATACATCAGCTGTGACTTTTCAGATTGTGGTGTCCCCAACTCTCAAAGTGGCATTGGAAAACATGCATGGGCGATCAGTCTCTCCCAGTCCTTCTTCCCTGGTCCCATCTGTAAGTCAATGGTCCCCAAACAAGAACCTTCACACTTGCCTGTCAGCCTCATTTCCAGGCCTGACTGTCTTCATACAGCTCCTCCACAGACTTCTCCATCCGGATGCTTCAAGAACATCAGTATGAGGCGCTTGCATAGTTCCACATGATATCTGTATCCACAGAGGACCTTCCTCCTGTGCTGGTGTCTCTGTTCCAGCATGGGACGCTATTTCTTCATTCTGAAGCAGAGTTATTACTGGCTGCCCCTCCTAATATAAAACAGTCTTCCACTAACTACATCTGTCCATTTTTTTTCCTAACAGAAAAGACAAATCAGATGTCTCTAATTTTAATACACACACACACACACACACACACACACACACACACACACACACATATACATACATATATACACATGTACATACATGTACAAATACGCATACATATACACATACACATATACATATGACAGTTTTGCTTGCTCACACTTGCTTGTCATCCAAAGAAGTCTCATTAGAGTGTCAAATCCTCAGGAACTAGAGTTCCAGTTGTGAGCTGCCACATGGTGCTGGGAATTGACTCTGGTTCCCCTGGAAGAAGAAAAAGCGCTCTTAACCACTAACCCATCTCTCCAGCCCCACAAATCAGACCTCTTATTTCATCTTAAGAATACACAAACAGCTCTTGATCTCAAATGCCTTTTTTAACTTCATCTTGCTCCATCAAACTTACTCTCCCTAACTCAACCAGACACTCAGAAAAATGCAGTTGGCAAATCTTACTCTGTCCATGAGTTCAACAACTTCCTGATGTCAGCAGAATTGAGTCCTTTCCTCCTTGAAGATGAACCTTCCTGTCTGCCTCTATTGTCCTAGAGAACAGTGTGTGAAACTTTCTTAGTGATTTTGTCTTCTTGGTTCTTCTTTGATTTTTTTGTCTGTTGTGGGAAACAGGGAGAAATACTTGTGACTGCTGCTTGAAACAACCTAATGCTTGTAGGTAGAATATCTAGGTCCTTTATTCATGTCGCAGTATTAGTTATTGGGAAAGGACCGTGTCTTGGTCTTCTGGCTATTCAGGATACACAGTCAATTTTGTCATTTGGATTCCTTGTACTCCTGATTTTTCTTATATTCCCTCGACTTCCTGGTTCCACTTGAGCCCACTGAGGTATTATCTGGTCCTTCTGCATGGTTATTGACTCCTTGTTTCTCTTCAGCATCCTGTAGTCCTGGAAATTCAAACATGAATGATGAACAAGCTGAGGAGATGCCCAACCTTCCACAATGCAATGGAGGAGGTGAGTGAGCCTTCACTTGCCAGTTAGCTAGTGAGTCTGCCAGAGAGAAAGACCTCAACCCCTTTCCCATCCTACCCTGTTCTTTACCTGCTCACAGAGGAGAAATCATAGAGGTAGCACGAAGGATCACAATAATGGTCTATGGGATGTGTAAGGAGGGAAGAGATGGGTGACCAATCCTCTGTCTGTGGTGACAGACAAGGAGTCATGTCAGCCTCCACTTTCAGAGTCTCAAAACATTGCTGTTTACTGCAGGAGACACTCAGGCCCTCTTTTAACTTTCTGCTTGTCAGAGGCAGCTCTCCTGCCACCATTTTCCTTGGCCACTCTGAGTCAACTGAGTCATTCTTTCCTACAGAGAGAGGTAGTTCTTGTGAACAGTGGTGTGATGGACAGGAGCCTCAGGATGAACTATCCGCATCACTGAGACATGATGCAGGTGAACAAGGGGAGCACAGCGTGGTCTGCAGGGTTCTGGAGACTGAATTCTGAGCTGGGGTTTCTTGCTGTGTTTTCTCTATTCACACATCAAAAGAACAGATGGTCATATATTCCCATGACATTCTGGGAAATTTCAGAGAGGAAAAAATGTCTGGAAAAACATGAAGGAATACTGTTTGTTATTACAGAGAACAAGAGATTAAGCAGATGTGAGTTCATCTAAAATATCTGGTTTATATATAGTCATGCATCACTTACGCTGGGATGAAATTCTGGAAAATACATTATGAAATGACCTCTGTATTGTGTAGATACCATAGAGTGCCCTGCCAGTAAATATTTTAGCTAGCCAGCTTCTGGTCATATCAGCTTAGGTGATGTCTGTCATATATGAGGCTCACCCTTGCCTAAAATGTTATCGTGTGTCTCATGAACGTACTCTCATGATGGCGTTTGAGAGGAATGTGAAAATTTTAAACATACCTGCCAGAAATCATGTAGGAATAATGAAATGTGGCATTAGAAGTGTCATAGAGGGGGTAAATAAGAATAAGTAGCTGATTATAAAAGAGGAAAGCCCTTGTATATAGAGAAAAAGATGAAAGCACAGAGATATGTCTAAAATCAGAAGAGGAATGTCAAATCAATAAGCTCCATATGTAGCTACATGCCATAAAGACAGCAGTGAGGGAAGAGGTGGGCGGGACAAGCTGCTCAAAGAGGAAGGCAAATCTCAGTTGGTGCAGTCATGCTCACTCTTAGGCAGCAGTGAGACACTGTGTCGCTGAGTCCAGACTATGAACATCAGGTATGCATTCAGGTCTTTTATCATCTGTCTTTCATGTTTTCCCCCTTTCAATGACCCAAGAACCATCTTTCCAAATGATTGAAGGAAAAAACCCCAGAAGTGTAGAAGGTGATACAGATTTCAATGTCCTGTTGTCTAAGTGGTTTTATTTCACTGTCAGCAGAGAAGAACTTTCATTCCTTTTGCTTCCTCTCCTGCTCACCAATCCATCCATCCTTGTGTCCACTCACCCATATAACTGTGTATCCATCTCTGTTTCCACTCACTAATGTACCAATCCATCCATTCATGTGTCCTCTCACCCATGGACCAATACATCTATCTAGTTGTTCATCTGGGTACCAATCTGCAGAACTAGCCACCAATCCATTTACTCACCCATGGATCGGTACAACCACTTAGTCGTCTGTCTGTCTATCAATCTATCCACCAATCCATTCATTCACCCATGCACAGTACAACCATTTAGCGATCTACCTGCCAGTCAATGCATCTATCCATTCACTTATCCATCCATTCATTTACTTACACAAATACTAACCATCCATCCATCTGCCAGTTAGCTGTCTAGCTAACTGTCCTTCCAACCATCCGTTTGTTTCTGTTCTCCTGATCCTCCCCAGAGATGGCTAGATTATGTCCAGCTTTTGAATTTTCTCAGGAGACACAAGCAGTAGAAAAGCCTGACTTCAAGCTGTTTGAGATTTTTCTTGAGTACAGACCATACACCAAGAGAGGGAAGTTGTAAACCCTAGATGGAGCCATAAAATCTAGAATTCTGAGTGATTACCAATCTTAGCAAACTAGACATGGAGTTCTAATGTCACCGTTTGGGATACACTACTGAGGAGGACTGATCTCCTTCCGTCACTTCCCCCGTGGTTGGGCCAGGCATGTGGACATGATGAAAAAGCAGACGCTGCGAAAACTCCTGAGAAAGACTTCTGAGGAGGACTTGGGAAGGGAATCTCCTCTTTGTCCACAGTGAACAGAGACTTTTATGATATGAAAGGACAATGAACCGAACATACAGAAAGGAAGGAGATGAGATGTTTAGATTCAACTTTGTCAGAAGTATCAGAAACAACAAGCTAACTAAAGAGAACAGACTGGGCTGGGAAATCAATGCAATAGGGGAAAAGGGCTAGGCTCACTTACAAAGTGAGTTGCAGAGTTGAAAATGTAGAGAAAATTATATAAAGGCAAGACGCTAGTAGACAGTGTAAAGCACTCATCAGCCCTACACACTGAGAACAAAAAAGGAGAATGAACTAAAATCCAGTAGGAGTCCAGTTAAATGACCCTTGCTGCCAACTTTGATGACCTGAGTTTGATCTCTGCGACTCACATCTATAAAGAAGAGGGCTGATTCGTATAAGCTTTCTTCTGAACTCTACCTATGTGTCATGGTATATGAGACACTCTCCTACCCCCAAATGAATATATCAACAACAACAACATTTTAATTCAATTGAGAGCAAAACTTACCTTCTGTGAAGGGAGGAGACAGCTTGAGACTTTGGAGGGACTGAGTGAGGAGCTGAATCCAACTTCTGCCCTAAGGTGAATACATCAGCTGTGACTTTTCAGATTGTGGTGTCCCCAACTCTCAAAGTGGCATTGGAAAATGTGCATGGGCGATCAGTCTCTCCCAGTCCTTCTTCCCTGGTCCCATCTGTAAGTCAATGGTCCCCAAACAAGAACCTTCACACTTGCCTGTCAGCCTCATTTCCAGGCCTGGCTGTCTTCATGCAGCTCCTCCACAGAGTTCTTTATCTGCATGCTTCAAGAATGTCAGCATATTTGCAAAGTCGCACATGATAGCTGTCTTGACAGAGGCCTTGCCTCTTTTGCTGCTTTCTCTGCCTCATTATGGGATACTATTTCTCCACCCTGTGACAGAGTGTGAGTGAATGCCCCTCCCCAATGTAACCAGTCTTCCACATATCAACCCCGTCCATTTTTTCCTTTTCCAAGAAAAAAAAAATGAAATAAGATCTTCCTCTCTGTCTGTCTCTCTTTCAACTTATATGTACAAGGGTTTTGCATACATGTGCATATGTATACTACATACTTGCTCTGTGTCCAGAAGAGACACAATAGCCTGTCTAATTCCCTGGAACTGGAAATACGGACACTTGTGAGCTGTCACACGGCTCTAGAAACAGAACCTGGGTCCCTGAGAAGAGTAGCAAGTGCTCTTATCTACTGAACCATCTTTCCAGCACCATAAAACAGATTTCTTGTTTTTAACTTAAGACTCCACAAAACCCCCTAGCCTCAGATTCCTTTTCCCGTTCAGTCTTGCTTCATCAAATTCATTCTCTCTAGTTCAATGAGACACTCAGCAAAATGCAATTGGCAAACTTTACTCTCTCCTCGACTTCAACAACTTCCTGTTGTCATTATGATTGTGTCCTTTCCTCCTTGAACTTTCCAAATTCCTTTCTGTCTCTCTTGTCCGTCAAGAGTTGTGTGTGTGTGTGTGTGTGTGTGTGTGTGTGTGTGTGAAATTTTCTTAGTTACTTTGATTTCCTGGTACTTCTTTGATCCTTTGCCTGTTTTGGGAAACAGGGAGAAATACTTGTGACTGCTGCTTGAAATAACCTAATTCTTATCAGTAGAATAGCTAGGTCCTTTATTCATGTCGCAGTATTAGTTATTGGGGAAGGACCATGTCTTGATCTTCTGGCTATTAGTGATATGCAGTCAATTTTGTCATTTGGATTCCTTGTACTCCTGATTTTTCTTATATTCCCTCGACTTCCTGGTTCCACTTGAGCCCACTGAGGTATTATCTGGTCCTTCTGCATGGTTATTGGCTCCTTGTTTCTCTTCAGCATCCTGTAGTCCTGGAAATTCAAACATGAATGATGAACAAGATGAGGAGATGCCCAACCTTCCACAATGCAATGGAGGAGGTGAGTGAGCCTTCACTTGCCAGTTAGCTAGTGAGTCTGCCAGAGAGAAAGACCCCACCCCCTTTCCCATCCTACCCTGTTCTTTACCTGCACACAGAGAAGAAATCATAGAGGTAGCACGAAGGATCACAATAATGGGCTATGGGATGTGTAAGGAGGGAAGAGTTGGGTGACCAATCCTCTGTCTGTGGTGACAGACAGGGAGTCATGTCAGCCTCCACTTTCAGAGTCTTAAAACATTGCTGTTTACTGCAGGAGACACTAAGGCCCTCTTTTAACTTTCTGCTTGTCAGAGGCAGCTCTCCTGCCGCCATTTTCCTTGGCCACTTTGAGTCAACTGAGTCATTCTTTCCTACAGAGAGAGGTAGTTCTTGTGAACAGTGGTGTGATGGACAGGAGCCTCAGGATGAACTATCTGTATCACTGAGACATGATGCAGGTGATCGAGGGGAGCACAGCGTGGTCTGCAGGGTTCTGGAGGCTGAATTCTGAGATGGTCCTTCTGCATGGTTACTGACTGCTTGTTTCTCTTCAGCATCCTGTAGTCCTGGAAATTCAAACATGAATAATGAACAAGCTGAGGAGATGCCCAGCCTTCCACAATGCAATGGAGGAGGTGAGTGAGCCTTCACTTGCCAGTTAGCTAGCGAGTCTGCCAGAGAGAAAGACCTCAACCCCTTTTTCATCTGACCTTGTTCTTTATATACTCAGAAGAAGTCATAGAGGCAGTACCAAGGATCAAACTAATGGGAAATGAGATGTGCAGGGAAGGAACAGATGGGTGGCCAGTCCTTCTCTGGTGACAGAGGAAAAGCCATGTTAATCTCGACTTTAGTCCTAGAACATGCCATTTCCTGCAGGGGACACTAAGCCCTGTATTTTTTCCACTTTTCCCAGGCAGCTCTCCTGCTGTGGTTTTCCTTGGTCATTCTGAGACATTCTTTCCTACAGAGGGAAGTACTTCTTGTGAACAGTCGTGTGATGGACAAGACCCCCAGGACCACCTGTCCTCATCACTGAGACGTGAAGCAGGTGAGCCAGGGGAGCACTGTGTGGTCTGCAGGGTTGTGGAGGCTGAATTCTAAGCTGTGGTTTCCTGCTGCGTTTGCTCTGTGTGCACATCATCATGAAGTAGAGGGCCATGTTCTTTTAATTGTCTGTGGCATTCTGGGTAATTTCCAGGTGGTAAAATGTCTGGAAAAACATCATGAAAGAGTATCATTTATTAGGTGCTCACAGGTCACTTTTGTAGCAATCTGGTGGGTAGGACAACACTCTTTGCTTTGTCTTTTCACAGCCACTAAGGACATAATAAATTGAAACTATAGGACAATTTCTTGTTCTAATTTCTTGATCTCCATGGAAACCAAGTAACATAGCATTCCTATGCTGACTATTTTTTCTTATTTTTTCCCATGAACCTGTCAAAAATGCTTAAAGAGGAACTATTGTATCATTTATCTGATACAATTCAATAAAACCCAAAGCTATTTTCCCATATACTTCATGTTATCTGGGCCATATACTTTCTGTGCATTTTTTGATACATATGTCATCCCCTCATTTTTAAATCTCTTAAGACTTTGTCAGGGGAAATTGTTAGAAATTTAATGCTCTAGATACATAGAAGTGAATAAGATGCTGGCATGTTTCAGAACTTGAAAAGGACAAGGAGATCAGAGGTCAAGCTTCCAGAAGATTCAACATGGGCTCTACATTGTCTGAGACAGGTAGTTAGGTTACTGTGGTCTGAACCCAACATGGAAGTTCAAGGGTCTTTTGATACTCAAGGTAGCCTTCAAGGATCCAGTGTAAAGAAGTTTTAGAATGCTTAGGGAGAAAAGAAGAAAAAAATATCACAGAGAATTAGAAAGCATGGGAATGTAGTATTACATGAGATAGGGGAGCCTCAGAAAAATAGAGGTAGAAAATATTGACACAGAGGCGATGTAAAATGTAGTGTTTACTACAGAGGTAAAGACAGATGATGAAGAAGACAGCAGATGCCAGGGAGAGAAAATCTAACGCTAGTGAGAGGTACAAAGACCTTTCCAAGTACCATTTTCAGCTGGTATTAACCAAGTTGCTTTAAACTTAGGAAGAGCTATGCTTGTTAGTCCCATTCTCTCAGAATGGACACTTGAGTTGTGCTTGTATGTGCAAGCATTGAACTGAGCAATTGGTAAAGCTTCGTAAGTGGTTATGGGGTAGGGGTGAGGAGCTGGTTGATTTCTAGTGGGCAAATAGAGTATGACTGTTATTGATTGGTAGCTGTTTATATGAATTGTTGGTTGGTTTGTACAAATCTATCTGCTGGACTTTAAGCTCACTGATTAGTTAGGATTATTCTGGTTGCTGCTTCTTTATATAATCAAAGAATAATGCGTTTCCCTAGGAGTATAGGAACCTTTAAAGATTTGTTTTTTTTTTAATTCTACGTATGCAAGTGTGTCCAAGTGTGGTTTGCACATGTTCATATGAAGAACTCCTAGCAGACAGAAAAGAGTGTGGTAACCAGAGTAGAGTTATGGTGGTTATGATCCACCTGAGAGTGGTGCTGGGAATCGAACTAAGGTCCTCTGGAAGATCAGTACGAGCTCTTCACTGCTGAGCCATCTCTCTAGGTCCAGTTCAGGGACTTCCCATCCATGGTTTCTCCTTTGGGAAATCCATTGTTTGAAGCTTACCAGAGAGACAATTAAGTATTGTTTATATTGCAAATGTCTTTTCTGTAACAGGACACTGAATACAAACTCCTAAGCCTACTTCATTAAGAAGATCAATAGTGCTGGGCAGTGGTGGCGCACGCCTTTAATCCCAGCACTTGGGAGGCAGAGGCAGGCAGATTTCTGAGTTCGAGGCCAGCCTGGTCTACAGAGTGAGTTCCAGGACAGCCAGGGCTACACAGAGAAACCCAGTCTCGAAAAACAAAAAACAAAACAACAACAAAAAAAAAAAAAAAAAAAGAAAAGAAAAAAGAAAGAAAGAAAGAAAGAATTGTGTCTGTGGATAGGGAGATAAAAGGGAATTTATGATATTTTAAAAAAAATATTGGCTTAAAATAATGCTATACAATGGCTTTTGATAGTAGTCTTTTCCCATCCCCAACTCATCCCAGATCCTCTCCAAATTCTCTTCTCTCTCTCCTGTATTTGTGTGTCTCTTGCTCTCTCTAAAAAAAATCAAAACAACCCAAAAGGTCAAAAAATATCAAAACAAGAGAAGCCCTCTCCAGCCACAAACCACAGAGTTTGTGTGGTCAGCTACTCCTAAGTGTGGGGCCCACCCTGGATGGAGTTGACAAACCTAGTGGCATTCTAGAGCTCAAGACACCACATAGCAAATAAATGCCTAGATGAGCCCCTGATCTTCTCAAGGAAGTAACATTACATGGGTCATCAAGCAAAAGCAGAACATGAATGTACTGAGAGAATGACTTTAGGAGATGGAGAAACTACTGTGATTAGGTGAGGCACTTCAGGGAAGGGACAAGGGCTTTCATCATACCTAGTCAGATGAAATTTTCAGGACCTCTGAAATACATCTGTGTCCACTACTCTGGCAGTTCCATCTGCAGAAAGACTTCAACTTCAAGGTTGAGGAGTTCTGTTAAAGAAAGCAATGTTCCCCAGAGAATAGTCTAGAATGACAAATACTAGAGACGTGAAAACACTGGAGAACCTCCTCTCTTGTTTTATAGAGCTACTTGACAAACATGTGAAGCCCCCCTCCACCATAGTGAAGAGGAATCATTAGTTATACTAGATAACCATTAGTTAATAATCTGGCGATTATTAGATGCAAGACTCAGAATCATTGTGAGAGCACAAGGAGGAACTGCAGCTTCTATCATGGGAGACTGGCTTTGAGAAAGCAACCCCATGGCAAATGGAAGAAGGATGTGTGGTTATAAGTGTGAACAGTGTTGCCATGGGTAGACTACCAGACTCTCAAGAGAAGCAGAGGCTAAAAGAGGAACTTGTAATCAATGGCCTGACAGTAGTTGACTCAAGATTACATCCATAGTGAGAAAAATGACTTATTCTCACAGACTGGCAAGCCATCATGTGCCTTTGTGAATGGTTCTTGATAGAGTAGAACCAAGCTTCTTTGTAGTTTGGCTACCAACTGGTGGGTCCACATTCATTAGTTTATGAGGCTGGCTTGGCTTGGGAACTTGTCGGACTTTCATGTCCATCCATTTGTTTTGTGTCATTATCTTCTAATATTCAGAAAGTTGGGAGAATCAGGGGCAGACACAAGGAAAAACGTGTGTAAAAAGTTTCTGAGGTTAAAGTAGCAAGAATAAACACAGAGACAGAATATTTGCCACATGCTGTACCCACAAATTAAGATAGAAATTTCTTTATGTTGATTTCTGCATGCATCTTTAACTAACCTATTTCAGGAATAAACGCACAATGAAACAAGTTCCAGTTGAGACAGTCATTTTGCCTGGTGGTTCAGGAACACTATCTGAATTGTGCACAAGAGGTCTAGAATTTATATCTGCAGGACACTCCCAGCAAGGCTTCAGATGATCTTGTCAAGAACAGCACACATAAAAGCTGGAGGCCATCATTCCCATATCTGAAGCTGGGAGCTTGCTGAGTGAGCCCTGGTGGGGGTGGGAGGAGACTCTGTGCTCGAAGCATATGGCTTCTACAGAAAAGGCCACAGTTGGTATGCCTAGAGCTTTGAGAAGCAGGTAGTTCAGGATCTGTAGACTTTGCGAAGCAGAAGTACTTATGCACAGGCTGCCCTGAAACCATCGTCCAAATGTCTGGAGGGTGACTGCTGCTGATTGACTGGTTTCCAATTTGTATCACTGCTTCTGATTGGGTAGACTTCAGATGCAAGGTTAATGAGCAGGTAGCCTTTGCCCAAATGGGAAAGGTTTGGAATTGGTAAAAACAACAAAGGTTACCTTTGACTGTTTTCAAATAACAGTTTTGTTCTTCCTCGTGGAAGATAAGAACATTAAATCTTTCTTTACGGTTACTTGTAGTAAATTAAAGGTGAAAGAAAAATGAGAAATAATGTAGTTGTGGAAAGAAAATGGCTCCATTTGATCTCGGGTGTGATTGCTGGACCAGGCATTCTACATGTTTCTTAGTTTTCATTGTTGTTGGTTTTATTTTTCCAGAAAGCAGCTCCTCCTTAGTTCAGATTACCTGTGCGGTCAGACAGCGGTGGGGACTCTTCTCTGTCTGTCTCAGGATCCATGTACAACAATTTTCTTAGTTGGGATTAGTATTCAGGGTGCTAGATCACAACTGTACAAAGAGGAGATGGAAGAGCTTGCTTCTGACCTGCTGTTCTATGAGAAACAAGGTGACTGACTGTGCCCTAAAATAATCAAACAGATACAGTTCTGACAAAAGGTCAAGACAGGAAGGAAAAATTAAAAACAGGAACTGAAAGACAGAGGAAAAAAGTAAAACTATTTTGGAGGAAGAAGAGAAGGGGTGGAACCAATAAACTTACAAAATGGTCATGTGTCACCTGTGGGGGAGGGGGAGGACACTAGAAGATCAATGTTAAGGCTAGCATGGGCTAGAGTGAGTTCAAGACCAATCAGGAAAGTTAGGTGACACCCTGTCTAAAAATGATACATAAAGCTGGGCGATGGTGGCACACGCCTTAATCCCAGCACTTGGGAGGCAGAGACAGGCAGATTTCTGAGTTTAAGGCCAGCCTGGTCTACAGAGTGAGTTCCAGGACAGCCAGAACTACACAGAGAAACCCAGTCTCGAAAAACCAAAAAAAGAAAAAAAGAAAAAAAAGATACATAAAAAAAATCTGAGGGTGTAGCTCAGTGGTAGACTGCTTGCCTCACAAATGAGCTTGGTCCCCAGTATTAGAAAATTAGATAACAAACCTATGTATACCCATAATTTTGGCCCAGGAGCACAGCGACCCACCAGTGAAGAGAAATGTTCCTGTGTCATGTGTTCCCCAACATACGTGCCAGAAGACCTGGGAGCAAGGATGGGAAGCAGCCAAGGAGGTAAGGAATAGATAGATAAGTCTGCCCAGGGATCATGGGTTAGGGATGGCTTGGTGATCTGCCCAGCTCCAGGTAGAGTAGTAACTTCTGATCCAGTCCATCCAAGAATCCAGTCCTCTGCATTTTCTTGTTGGGAGCTGGAGAAGAGCAAGAAACCTTTACAGAGCCATGTGGGAAGAGATGGAGTCAGTTGGTCACATGTAGATGAAGTAGAACAAATGCACTCTTTTAAAATTCATTCATTCATTCACATCCCAAATGCTGTCCCCCTAGTCCCAGTTCCCTTCTCAGAGAGTCTTTCCCTTCATCCCCCTCTCCTTTGTCTTTGAGAAGGTGGGAACTACCCCCCCCATGGAAATCTCCCCACTGTAGTATATCAAGTCTCTGCAGGATTAGGCATGTCTTGTCCTCCTGAGGCCAGACAAGGCAGCCCTCTACTACATTTGTCCTGGGAGCCCTGGTCCAGCCCCTATATGCTCTTTGGTTGGTGGCTCAGTCTCTGAGAGCTCTCAGGGCTCTGGGTTAGGTCATACTGTTGGTGTTCCTGTGGAGTTTCTAACCCCTTTGGGGCCTTCAATCCTTCCCCAAACTCTTCCATAAGGGTCCTTGAGCTCTGTCAAATGTTTAGCTGTGGGTATCTGCATCTGTTTCAGTCAGCTGCTGGTTAGAGCCTCTCAGAGGACAGTTATGCTAGGTTCCTGTCTGGAAGCATAACAGAATCATTAATAGTGTTAGAGATTGGTGCTTGCCCATGGGATGGATCTCAAGTTGGGCCAGTTATAGGTTGTCCATTCCTGCAGTCTCTGCCCCATCTTTATTCCTACATTTCTTTTAGAGAGAACAAATTTTGAGGAGAAAGTTTTGTAGATAGGGTTGGTGTCCTTATTCCTCCACTGGGGTTCCTGCCTGGCTACAGGAGGTAGCATCTTCTGGTTCCATATCCCCACCCAGTGTTAGGTAGGCATCTCAGATAAGGGCACCTGAAAAATTAAACTCTTAAAACCACCACTTATCGTGTCTGCTGCTCTGAGGTACTGAGTCACACCCGTTTTTCCCTGCCACCCAGGGCAGAGGAGTAAACATTTGCAGCTAGATAAGAAAGTTGCCGTGCTATGATAAGGCCATGACGAAGGTCCCTACTGAGTATGAGCCCGCTGCTTCTGAGGAGGAAAGAATTCAGGTCAACTCTTCTCAATCCAGTATTCATTCCCAACCAAAGTCCTTAAGTGTGTCAAAGAACCAATTAGGGCTTGCCTAGGACACTTCCTACCAAATTCTCACTTAATTTGTACAAAAATGTATTAACATATGAACTGTCTCATAGTGAGGTGGGGGTGGGGCAAAAATGGCCAAGGCCCTCCCTGGATTCCCAGTTGTCAGTTCACTGGACTTAGATTCTACTAGAGGGAGGAAAGAAATGGCAATCCAAGCCTTGCTGTAAGCAAGGCCTCTGCAGTGTGAATGGTCCTAAGCCTTGGAACGTCTGTTCATTATTTCTTTCTTCATTGCCATTTACTGTCTTTCTAGAAGCCATAGACATTGGGAGGAGCATTCCTGCAAGAAAACCCAAGAAGAGAAGTAAGGAAACAGTGACTGTTTACATGCTTTTGTTGTTCACGATAAGTTATTTATCCCAGAATTACCATTGTTACTATGTATGATAATGGGGTAGACTTCGGTGACCTCCCCTGAGGTCCTACTTGCCCTTGGACCTGTTATCTTAATGACAAGGACACTCTCTACATGTGTGATAAAGCTAGAAACCTTGGTGGGGAATATGGTTGTTTTTGACAGTTGGTGTAGGGGTGACTAATCTGATTTTATGGGTCTTAAGAAGGGGAGGACCTTTCTTAGATGTCGGAAAAGAAAATGGCTATGAAGGAAGAGTCAGAAGGATGCAGGCCTGGTGCAGGAAAGGGCCAAGGACCGTGGTGATCTTGAGAACCTGGGTCAGAGAAGGAAATAGGTTGTCTCCTAGAGACTCCAGGAACAGGTGAAGGGCTGTGGACAGAAGGATGTCACCCACATCAGACATCTAACTGATATCATAACTGATACTGTACTGCTTACATAAACTTGTGCTGTTTTAAGCTACTGAACTTGGGTGACTTTTCCCTGAGAGCAATACGGACTGGTATATATTTTGGAATAGCCAGGAACTTCATAACAGTGGCCATGACAGCGACAGCCCCCATGGATGAGTGTGGCCCCATAAGATGGTATTGTTCTGTGGGGTTTCGAAATCATCTAATGACACATTTCTCAGAATGTACCCCATTGGTAAGTAATGAATGAGTTGTCTGAAAGTGGCATATGGTTCCAGCACATTCTTAAAAATCAGAAGTAACCTTGAAATTGTCCAGAAAGGAAAGACTGAAGATTTGTTTGTCTTTTGCTATTTTATTTTATTTCTGAGACTGGCTCTCACTGTGTAGTCCTGGCAGGTCTGGAGCCTGCTTTGTAGACCATGGTGACCTCGAACTCACAGAGATCTGCTTGCCTCTTCCCTCCTGAATATTGGGATTAGAGGAGCACTCCACTCAGCCACTGGGACCCTGAGGAAGAATTTCAAATACCATTGTGGAAAAAGCTTGGGGTGTTACAAGGAATAATTTGAAAGACTCAGTGAGAACTCAGCAGGAAGTGAGGAGCACGCTAGAGAAAGCCTACATTCCTTCAGTCTATACCCTTCTATTTGAGCATATGACCATGAAGGAGGGCTCAGTGTCTTTGCGATTCTTATTTTAGATCAAATGTACAGTGGAAGGCACAAATCCTAAGCACACCCTTTGAAGGATCCTGCTAATGGCATCTAAAATCTTGTGGAGTCATGGAACATGACCTTGAGCCTGGCAAGCTTTTCTGTACCTTCCATTGCCCCATTCATTAAGGCAGACACTTATTTTTCAAGGATAACTTAGTTTAGGTTGTTTCTAAGTGCTTTATAAGTAAGATTTCCCAGTGTGTTCTTTAGTGTAATGCTTGCTACCTCCACAGAATGAGTCTGCAGGGAACTTATGTGGAGGAATGCAGTGGCAGAAAAATTCTTTTTATTGCTAAGTAGTCTACTTTGTCTGAGTGGCCCAATTTTTTTTTTTTTTTTGTTGTTATCCTAATGCTAGAGCCTCAACATTTCCAACTTGGGACATGACAAAGCTGGTAGGAGCATCCTTGGAGACATCTTCGGTGGCTCTGTACTTTCAAATTCTGACAGAAATATCTAGGGGTGACATGCTGGTAGATAGGGTAGATTTCTTCTTGCCCGTCTGCCAAGATCCACAAAGACTGTGTTGTGGAACAAGCCAGAGAGATGTTGCACACAAAGGCCTATGTGGGGACTAATGAGGAGTGCACAGGAATGTCCATGTTTTACAAGGCAGTGCTGGCTCTTGGACCTTCCCCTGCACCATTTAACCAAGTCTATAAAGTATAAGTCCTGGCTGTCTCTGATGACCCTCAATAAAATGCAGCTCACTGGTTTTGCATGAGGGAGGTATGTAAATGCCTGGCCTTCACACAGCTCCTAAGAAAACACATCCCTAGAAAAGAAGAATAGTTGAGCTTGCCTGGGTAGGGCATTCTTTAGTCACCATGATGGTGGATGGTATCTCATGGCCAGGGTATGCTGTGAATCTGGGTTCCCACTCCATGCATCATACCTAGTCTGTGGTTGATGAAGGGTTACTAACTGTAAGTCCTGCATTCTACCCATTCTCTGACCATGTCCTTAATGGAGTGACATCACCTCAGCCTTCTCAGTGGGGCAGAGACCACCAGAGTGAGGGTCTGGCAATTCTGAAAAGTGGGTGTCATCAAAGCTCCTCTTGTCCTCAGACCTCCTAAATGTGAGGTATCCCCTCAGGTGCTTGGGGTTCTGCTCTTATAGCCTGCCATATGATTCCAGAGGCTGTACCCTCACCTGTGGGTTTATATTTTTCAAAACCTATGTTTATAAGGGTTCTTAAATGCTCCATCCTCCCTTACAGCCAATCAAAGGTAGTGGTGGAAGAAAGGTTAATAGGCTGAGGGGGACATGGACCTGTTTAGAAGTAGTTCTTCGGGGAGATTCCAATCTTTGTTGTCAGCAGTTCAGTCCACTAGCAAAACACCAAACATGAATCAGCAGCAAGGTTCGATCCAGAAGAAACCACGAGTCTCTGCTGATCAATCTGCATGAGACCGCAGAAGGGGTCAGAAACCAACAGAATATCATGAGAAGTTCTTTGGTGCATTTCTCTCTACGAAGTCACTTCTTTTTTTTTTTTTTTCTTTCTTTCTTTTTTTTTTTTTTTTTTGTTTTTTAAGACAGGGTTTCTCTGTGAAGCCCTGGCTGTCCTGGAACTCACTCTGTAGACCAGGCTGGCCTCAAACTCAGAAATCCACCTGCCTCTACCTCCCAAGTGCTGGGATTAAAGGTGTGTGCCACCACTGCCCAGCTATGAAGTCATTTCTTGACTGACAAGCGAAGATCAACAAAGAAAGCAAGGCAAACCAATGCAAAAGCATCATCCACTGTCTGTTGGGTGATACTTATACTCTTTCCAAATATTACGTGTCCTCTCAATCATCTCCTCCAGCAAAACATCACATGTTCTTTCACAAGACAGCTTCCAGAAAAACACCATGTGTCTATTTTCAGGAAAGCATCCTTTCATATGTCTGCTTCTGCAAAACATACTCTCATAAGAGAGCTTCCAGAAAAACAGTACATGACACAACTGGCACAGAGACCCCAAAGAAACCAAAAATTTCTACTTCACTCATCTTTCATTCAGACCATCTTCTTTGCTCACCCAATCTCAGGCCATCAGGGCCTGAAAGTAAGGCAAAGAATTCCCATAGAAGGAACCAGAATTAGACTGGAAGCCCTGGGTACCAGAATTGAAGCCTGAGTTTCAGAATAGGTCCCTACATCACCTGTAGCTCCTTTCCTACTTCAGTCCTGACCATTATCCAGGAAGGTCTAGAGTTCTCCAGCTGTGTGTGCAGGGCATGGAGGTCAAAGAATTAGCACTGGTATGTGTTTCCTATTAAAAAAAATAGGGGTGTTACCATACTGCAAATGGTCCCAACAGCTAACTGTGTGGCAGTGATGTTCCTAGGGTCACAACAGTGCTACCAGACTCTGCTGATCCAAATGTGGCTCAGCAGACTTAAGGCATCACCTAAACCCTTAAGAGGGTTTCAAAGTTCTACTCAATGTGCCAGGGAAAACTGCTTTGTGATAGGTCTCGGTCCCTGAGGGAAGGTGGGTCATGGCTCAGCAGGAGGTATCAGTATTGTGCAGCAGTAGTCTCTGCAGGAGAAACCCAGTGCCAGCATCCAGTAGTAGAGACCAGTGCTACTCAGTCAGAGCGTATTTCTATAACCCCTGGGAAAGGTAGCATAACCTGCCAGTCTTGGCTTCTCACAGGACTGAAGAACTATTCAACCCAGTTGGTTGAGTTCTCCCAGCTTGAGCAATGGCCATATCTGCTTTCAGTTCTGTGTAACTGACTTGAGCAGAACCGCTTTGGCATCAGCCAACGTGGGCATCAGCTTAGCTGAGCTCACGAGCTCACAAGCCATGCCCAGGTGAGTCTTCATGGAACTGGTTCTAGCTTGAAGTAGCCTGGACCCCAGAAGTACCATGTGGGTAGGATGTCCTTTAGTATGCCATCCTCTTTGGAAGACCACAGCAGTTTTGGTGCTTCCTCCATTGTCAGTTTCAGGGTCCCTTGTTGACTCTGCCCAAGATGGACGTCTCAGGTGGGAAAATCACAAATCTTCCCTCTGTACATCAAGCCTTCATTTCCACCAGTTAAGCTATTGTCACTGGCTTTTCCCAGCCAGTAACAATCAGTTAACATCCAGAGGGACCCTGTTCCAAATGAAGTACTAGGCAAGGATAGATATGTGACATTGTCTTCTGACCTTTGAATGTGTGCATGCCTGCACTCACACACACACACACACACACACACATATGAACATGCACATACATACATCCTGTTTCAGCACACACAGATTGATAAATAACAATGCTCCATCACTGTCACCACTAGACAGACTTTCCAGTTCTCCAGAGCTGTGGGCACATGAGTTTGGATAATTCAAGAGAAAACCCAGCAAAAGGTCCTACTAGGCTTCTCTAAAGTCCCTCCACCCCCACCCTGATCCTTCTGGTGCAGTTGAAATGTGTGAGGGGGTTTATGTTACAACTTGAAGAGAATAAAGACCATTTAAGAAAAGGGTTCCGCATGGAAGTTGAGAGCATTTCTTGACTTCCAGGGTAGCATGGTCTCTGGGTTGGATTTGCATGGTAGATACATGCCCCGGCACTTATCACTCCATCAATATAAGGCAAGAGCAGAAATTAGCCTCCACAGGTGTTCAAAGAGAGGTGCTCTTCTATAGTCCCCCAAGGCCACAGCCCAAGACACAGGAAGAACCAAAATTTAACTCTGGCATCAAACTGCACATGACTAAACTGTTAAGAATTGTGCCTCGGCGGATTTCTGAGTTCGAGGCCAGCCTGATCTACAGAGTGAGTTCCAGGACAGCCTGAGCTATACAGAGAAACCCTGTCTCGAAAAACCAAAAAAAAAAAAAGAATTGTGCCTCATTTCTAGGATCTGAAGTTTGAAAACAGTATCTGAATGCTGCTTTCATATAAGGCCCAGAGAATTACATTATATCTCAAATTATTGATTTTACTCTTTTTTTTGTTTTGTTTTGAAGGAAAAAAGAAAGGTCACAACTGGTCAAAACCAAAATGGAGAAAGCCAATGAGTGTACGGAGAAAACGTAAGCAAACCGAGGGACTGTTACAGCTGTTGCATTTATTAAGGTGTTGCCCATTGCACATTTGATGAGCCTGTGAGTTTCTGAGCCATGATAGTGTGTGTGTGTGTGTGTGTGTGTGTGTTGTATTCACACAGGTGCATAATATTGCCCCGATATGTATAGGCCCGAGGAGGACGTTGAATATCCTTCTCTCTCACTGTCTACCATTCTCTTGATAATTGCCAGTCAGCAAGCCCTCGTAAGCCTCTTGTCTCCAGTCCCTTGACACTAACCTTACCCTATAGGCACATAGCTATGTACTTTTTACATAGACACTGGTATCTGAACTCATAGCCTCATTCTTACACATGTATTGCTCTTAAGCACTGTGCAATCTCCACCCTCCCACAAACATTTTATAGCTATACCAAAGTGTGGGTTAAGATGCTGTAACCAAGTGTCCCAGTGCTACAATGTCTCTTTCAAATGGCTTGTTTCTGGTACTTGGGATGGCCCATGTTTGCTGTCATCCTCAGAATAAAATTTTTATTGATGTAGAAAAACGTTTAGGAGAAGGATGAATGAAGCAACCAGGCTGCATGTGCATATGTACAAATGGTGTGTGTGTGTGTGTGTGTGTGTGTGTTTGTGTGTGTTAAACCTGCTAAAGCATTTAATTTTGCCTATAAATTCAGGTCTCTTCATGTAAGTATTTATCTGTCTAGAGAGAGAAAGATTTACTTAGAGATAGAAATAACTGGCAGTCCATGTTTATAAATGTGTCCATTGAAGGGATGATGGGATGCTTCAGTGGGTACAAGCGTGAGGACTTGATCTTGGATCCCTAACACCCACGTTAAAAAGTTGGGCATAACATACACATCTGTAATCCCTCACTGGGGAGGCTCAGCCTCACAGTGGATGACCACTAAGCCTAGTCAGATCAATGAGTCCCAGATTTAGTATCAGACCTGCGTTAATGGCTAAGGTGGAGAGCTGTTGAGGAAGACTCCAAACATTGATCTCTGGCCTCTGTGCACATTCAGGCACACCCACATAGACATACATAGGAACAAATACATGTACACACATATGCAAAAACGTATACGTTGATTATTTTTGGTTATTGGCATAGATGTGATGTCTATATTTTTATTTGTTTCTTAAAATATTAAATATGATCAGCCTTTGTCATGAAAGGTATTCTTTAGGGATAGACACATACACAAACACACACAGATATAGATAGATAGATAGATAGATAGATAGATAGATAGATAGATAGATAGATGATAGATAGACCAATTGACCTTAGAATATTTTTGAACAATTTAATCACAAATATATCTACACAGTGATGTTTCCTATAATCTTATTCCTGTGTCACGTATATATATTTACCAACAGCCCCGCCATCTGATTTTAGTAATGGTCTAGGGAATTCCTTCTTCCTAAACAAAAGCTAAATGCCATTTTCCAAATGATTATCAGTTTTGCATCAGGTCCATGAAGTAGGCATTAGATTCCTACTTGATATTAATTTCACCAACTAAGAATCTTATGCTCTTGACAATGACCTGGCTGTGCTGTTGACTGATGTGTACATTTCTGTTTGAAAAGGAGAAAAAGGTGGTTGCATCCATTTTTTGAATGCATATTATGGGAGCCACATTATTTGGGCTGAGTTGTTGAAAACACTTCCATCAATTATCTTCCTGTGTAGACAAGTAGATTTCTTTCCGACATGTCAATACAAGTGAATCCTGCATGTGCTTTACCCCTGACTTCTGCCTGGAAGACCACAGCTCCTTGTGAGCTCTTATTCACAGTGTGTGGAGAAAGCACCCTGATGCAGCAGATGCCTGCCTCCCTTGCTCCTTCCATCTTCCCCTGTAATTTAGCTCAACTCTGCATTTGCCTGTGTCCCTCCTAGGTGGCAAAATAGCTGCTGGCCAGGCAGCTTTCAGGAGAAAGAAAATGAAAAAGAACCCAGGACTCTCTGCTAAGATCAGGGGTAAGACAGCTTCTGTGGATCTTTCCCTTCACCCTCGTCTGAAGGTTTTGCGGGGGGGTGGGGGGGGAATCTAAAGATTAAAAACAAAAGAAAGCAAAACCAAAAAACTACTCAAGCTTACTTGTTAATTTGAGAGTAAAGCTGTTAGGAACAAGAGTGTAAGTTGTAATTATATCATCAGTTTATCCATCCCAATATCTTCCTTCCGGATTTTTATGGAAATGGTTTTCTCTACATATTGATTATTTAAATGGCTACATTTGGAGAATTGGAAGCGGAAAGCAGATCTACTTGGTCCTTTCCTCCCCCTTTCAGTGAGTTCTTTCTCATCTTGGCCAGGTCCTATAGCTTTCCAGGACCATTTCTGTAGCAGCAGTTTTCCATAGGAGAAGCTGAGAGCCCTTTCTGACCTGATACCCAATTTTTGAGACAGTCAGACCATGTCGGAGAGAACAAATAGCAAAGGAACGAACCTTCATGCTTTCTCCAATTTAAAGCACTTCCTTTCTGTCAGCGTGGGCAAGCCTTAGACTATGCAAGGAGTGATGGCACTATCCTGTTTTTAGTGCTCCCATGGGGCTCTGCCTCTCTTCCCTAGCAGCTGGTGTGGAGCCATTGGGTTGGGGAGATTGAAGAGAACAGAGATGACTGGGTGTTTGAGCAGGTGTCTTGTCTGATGGAAGACGCTGGAAGTAGAGGATGCTCTCTCCCATGATGTGCTCCCATCACTTCCACAGTAGGGAAAGATGAGGGACCAGACATCAGGTTCACCTTGTTCAAAGAAATTTAGCTTTCATTTTGGGGCCTGGTGTAAGGGTCCCTGCTGACATGACCCAATCTCACTGATGTGTTCTACGGTCACACTGTGGTTTGGCACTTTGCCTTAGGATGTTCAGGGCCCCAGGGGATCACCTCAACCAACTCAACTGGAAAAAGAGACTTCCCGTTTTTCACCCACAGAAACTTCTATGTCATTAGTGACATGAGCATACTAACAGGTCACTTTATTTGCCATTTACTAAATTGATCCCAGCTATTGAGCCTTCTATAAAATGTTTGAATAAACAGCAGAGAATTGACAAATCTGTTATTCTAAAGTTTAGGACTGACTGTAACAACTATTTTTAAATTATTTTAAACTATATTCAGACCACAATTGTACTCACAGGGTTAGTGATTTCAATTTATTACATGGGCAGAATGCCTCTGAATGCAACAAAAACCCAATCTTGCCTTGCTCAGTTATTCTCCTTGGAAATAAAGTATTGTAGGATAAAATGTATCTAGATCTAAATCCAAATCTCCCTATACCAACTTCTTCTCCATTGGCTAAAATAAACATCAGTGTTTCCTTTAGCTCTTCAAAATATGAGCCTTAAATATGTTCAATAAAAGGTAATTCAGTAGACCTTCTAGTCCCACAGTGAAAACCATCACACAGGGTTAGGGAGAAACAGTCTCTGAATTTGCTTTGCTGGCTGATGCTGTTGCCAAAGCTTTGACACCAAGTCCAACTGGAATAGAGTAGGGATGGTTGCTGGAATGAGTCAGGTGGAAATCTTCCCAGCGGGCTATGAGCAACAGACCTCAGAAGGAGGAGGAATGGGCTATTCCCAACCATAACTTAGCCTTCTAGAGTCTCAGTGGCATCTTGAACCAGAAGGAGGAGAGTTCCTTTGAAAGCCACTTTGAGTGGAAGACCTTATGTTGCCTGGTGGTCCCACCATCCACAGAGAGGAAGCAAGAATATTAGTTTCTATAACAGTGTATGTAGCTGAATTACCCACTGAGACACTTCCTGTTTACTCACTGTCTGAGATAGTAACAAGAATTTTGATGATGCAGCTGAAACAAGGTTGAGAACCCTGAGCCACTGCAGTGCTGCCTGCATTGACCTGCAAACTCTCAAGAGTGGATACAATCTCTGCCACACATGGGGTGTCACCCAGCAGTGATTGCACATGAAGATGGCCCCGAATGTTGGGCAAAGACCTGGGTCCAAGTTTTCTCTTCCTTTAACCACAGTGGACTTGGACAAGTCCTTTGTCTTTCATCTCAGATTCTCCATTTCTAATGTAAGAAGGTCATACATGTCAACCCTCCCAGTTCATTGCAGTCATGATCACAAACAGTCGCAGTACCATGGACAGTCCACTGCACCCCACACCCCTTACCCCGACTCCATCAAAGTCTCTGAATGATGACAGGGAGAGCAAACTTATCTTCTCAACTTTCAGGAATTTCCTTGAGGAATTTTCATCTCTGCTTCAGTGGAGTTGCCTCTCTCCACCTCCTGTATTGTTTTCAGATTGTTCTAGAGCTCTCTGGGTTTCTCTATCAGCTCCAGACACAAAGCACTGTTGTGAGGGAGAAATGAAGCAGAGCCGACATACAGACAAATTCGAGGTGATCCCACCCAGCTCTCCTCTCCCTGCTCCCCAAGTCAGTGCTAAAACGGGAAACAAGAGAACCATCTCTGGCTACCACCTTTAGTAAATAGCACATCTGAGCATCTCCTGGCACAACCCAAAAACTTCTGTGTGTTTCATGTAGCAATCAGTGGAGCTAACCAGAGTGGAAAATTTCTCTGCAAACGCCTTCTGTTTTTTTTTTGTTTGTTTGTTTTGTTTTTTTTTTAATTTTAGAAATTAGGGGTAAAGTGTTTTGTCACTATGTCTCCACCAATATGCCACTTGCAAGAACGATTTAGAAGCTAGAGATGTGAGGGTGAAAATGTCCCAAGTGTTAAAGGAATGACCTCAAGAGGGAGAAGGGGGAATTGAGCAATTGCAGAGTGAGATGCAAGAAGAAATCCTCTTTTCAGGTCTAAGAAGGCTCAGAAAGGAAAATGCCAATTTTAGTGCTGAATTGCTTCCTGTGACGTGCGGTGACTTGAAGGGAGTGTTACACAAGAATAAATTCAAGAAAGGTAGGTTTCATGGTTTTTAATTTGCAACTGCTAAATTTAAAAATTATACGCAATAATGCAATTGCTTAAGGGACTGTGGAGTAAGCACGGCTTGACATCGGGAAGGGATCCTGACAAACTATTTTCACACTTGAAGAAGCCATACTTAATAGACGCTCATGCCAACGTGGATGTGCACGTAATAGATGTTCACGCCAACATGGTGGATGTAGCCACGTGATGCCCAGAGAACCAGCAGAAGCCCATGAACTTTCATCCATAGATGGAGACTGTTGTGTAGCTTCATCCTGGTCAGGCACAAATGGGAAGAGGCTATGAGCCTCTGTCTTCACATCCCTGGGTCATTAGCACCGGGGCATGACACTTGTCATGGGAGACCATCACAGGACTGCGAATCAGAGAACCCAAGTTCCAGCCTCAGATTTGCCAAATGTGGTGTTCTCATTCTATAGAGGGAGGGGGGCTTTCTGAGCCTGAAATTTCTCATTTTGAAATAGAGGACAATAATTTAAAGCCTGACCCATGAGGATTGATTATTATTATCAATTATCAATGGTATGGCATATTCTTCAATAATATGCCATAAAGGTTTGCAAGAAATAAAGCCTCAGTATGATGGGCTGCATGTCATAGCTCTCTATGGATGAGAGTTAACAGAAAGAATTACATTGTCTCTATTGTTAATGGTTTTAGTGGGTCATAATTCATACACTATATAATTCAGCATTTAGAGTCTACAGATGAATGGGATTTTCTCTTTTGGTACATCAGAAACAGGTACCATGAGAATATATTTGTGAGTAGTCAATGCCTCTTCCCACGGCACACTACCGATCAATCACCCACCTCATTTCTGTTCTATAAATCTGCCCACTGTACACATTTCAAAAAAAAAAATCCTATAATATAGGCCACTTGTGACTGCCTGCTTTCACTTACCAGGAAAACCACATCTTTTTGGTTTATGCAATATGTTGTTTTAATTGCCAAATGAGGTGGTATTCGCTTGTCACGTATTATATTTGTATCATTCATTCACCAGTTTGGATTATTTCTACTTTGGGATGTAAATAAATAATGTCGTTTTGAGACTTCAAGGTGTGTAGGAATATTCATACTCAGTTTGAGGCACACAGAAGTGGAGTTGCTGTGTCATATCGTGATTATGTATTGAACTCAGTAGGGACTCATCAAAATGTTTTTGGTGGTGGCTACACTCTTCTGTATTCCCACCAGCAATGCAGGGGGCCTCCAACTTCCCTCCATCAAAAGCTGCTGTTTCTCTTTGTTTTCTATTATGGTCATCCTGATGGGTGTGGAATGGTGCAGTAGGAATTTTGTTCACTTTTTCATAATAATGAAGATGCCAAACATATCATTAGCTTTTAAAAAATCATAATCTCTATTTCCACGGATTAAGATTTATGTTTGGTGATGTCTACCTGTGACTGCAGGAATGGACAAACTTCTGTTCAATATTCCCTTTAAATTGGATAGAAAACAATGTCACCGAATCCTGAGTTGCAGCGGCAGTCTTCGTCGTGGGTGAGGACTCCTCCTCCCCTTTTCCTGGGGCACCTGAGACTCTCATTGTTCTCCAGCCTAAGAGCTCAGCATCAGGTTGGACCCCAGTCACACTGTGGAGTCAGTCACTTGCTTGTCTGTTTCTCGGTGACCCTGAAGTAGTTTTAAAAGGTGGTGATTAACATTTTTTCATGCATGAAAATGAAAGAAATATGCAAGGTTTCATGAAGGCTCTTGAGGGAACCCCAGGTTGAGCTGGGATACCTGAAGCCAGGCAGGAGGCTGACTCTTCAGCTATTGACTTTCAGCACAGCTTTGGTGACTCTAGATCCAGTGTGGTGAGCAATCATGAATCTAAGGACAAAGCAGGCTCAGGACTAACCTATTATGATCTTACAGGGATATCTGTGATGTCCATACAGTGTGAGGATGGAAACTGGTGCACACCCTCTAAATTTGAAATCATGGGAGGCTATGGAAAATCAAAGAACTGGAAATTGAGTCTGCGCTGCCATAATTTGCCCCTGAAATTCCTGATCCAGGTATTGCAATTGAGGGGAGGGAGGTCAGTGCTTCTTATTGCACTGTTTACAGATCAAATAAGTATTGAGTTATGAGAAGCCCTGATACCAGTTAGGTTTTCCTGTCACTCAGGAGAGAGGCATCCCTCATTCACAGCCTCATGGAAGGTACGCCCTTGGTGATATTGACAAATGTGAGACACAGAACCTCTGAGGAGGGAATGGCCATTCTGAATAAGGGTTTTTGCAAAGAAATTTCTGCCTGAAACCAAAGAAAGAGTTGACTGTCAAACCAGTGGAAGACAGTCTAGAGCAAGAAAGGCATCTGAACAGAGTTCCAACTAGGGCATCTGTGTGGAATAGGGGTATGCTGTGTGTTTGGCATAACTCATCCTTTGAGGTTTGTAAATATAGCTTTTATTCACCTGAAGTAGTTGTAATTTCAGTGGTTTACTACCTCTGATGCTAACCTAGGCCTAGAGGATTCTAGCCACTGTACAGTCTTATCTAGGCCTAGAATGTTTTCAGTCTCTGAGACTTACTGCTGGTTAAGCTCACCCTTTCTAGTGCTTTCTGAACTTTGGATGGCTGGCTCAATTCAGCTGATCTGGCTCAAACTCCTTTCCTAGCTGGTTGATTCAATCTGGCTTCTCTCTGCTTCTCCTGAATTGTTCTGTTTGGCCTTATACTAACTTTGGCAATCTGTTCTAATCTTCTGGCTCCTTCTCATTCTCTGGCTCATTCTTTCTGTCTTGACCTGTGTCTAGTTTGTTCTCTCTTCAACTGGTTTCTGTACAACTCTCCTGGTAAAACTGCCTCCTTCTCTTTTTCTTCTTCTTCCTGCACTGCCCCTTAAGTAGCTTCCCTTTCCTCTCTTCTCCTGAGAGATGAACATATCCTATTCTGTCAAATCTTTTCCTGATTTGTCACTTTGTCTGCCACTCAATTAGACAATACTTTCAAACACTGGTTTTTCCTTCTACAAACTAACTTCACCTTCATTGTTTGGGATTAAAGGTGTGGACTGAGGGTGTGTCTGTGTTCTAGCCAGAGAGATTAAAGTGTGTCCTAAGAGCTCAGCCACACTACAACTAGAAACAGGTTTTTTTTTCCCAGTAAATAACACAATCTCAGGGTTCACTGTGTTACCAAGCATCCTGTAACAGAGGTTGTTGATACAAGGATTTAAAGCCACCCTAATTACCCCAAATCCAAAATTTAGACAAGAAATCAGTGATGGCCTTGAAGTTAGAAATGGCAGTTGAAGACAAGGTATGTTGGCACAAGCCTTTGGGAAGAGTTCTGTGTTTTCAAGGCTAGCCTGGTCTAAATAGCAAGTTTCAAGACAACCAGGGATATGCAGAGAGATCCTGTTTCAAAAGAAAAAAAGAAGTGGAAGTTGAAATATATGATCATCATCTCCATCATTATTTGGTGTACAGGGTTGAACCTAGGGCTTCAAGTAAACTAAAGAAGACTTCAGCTCTAAGCTAAGCCCAGCCTTCTTGTTTTACTTTGCTTCCTGTGCTGCTATGAGAAACACCATGACCAAAATCAACCTGTTGAAGGAAAGGGATTATTTGGTTTACAGCATACAGTCCATTATAGTGGGAAGCCAAGACAGGAACTCAAGGCAGAAATATGGATGCACAAACTGAAGCAGAAACCACTGCTTAAGGCTTGCTCTTTGGCTCCTAAAGTTCCGTGTTCAACTGTCTTATTCAACTTTGGTATACCTTTCTAGGGATAGCACCACCCACAGTGGGCTTAGACTTCCTATCAATTCTCAATCTAGAAAATGCCCCCACAAAATTGCCTATAGCCTATCTGAGATAGACAATTCTTCAACTGATGTATGTCAAGTTGATAACCAAACTAGCTAGGACACATCTACAGTTCTGTCAGAAAGAGCTAGTCTCAGATATGATTTTATCATCTCCCTATTCAGCAAGCCTGTGTATTTATCTTAGAATTCTTAGTTCAAATATCTCTCCCAGCACTGACTGTCCTAGTCCCTCAGCTCCAAGAGACCCTTCTTAAACTGTGTGAGATTGGTTCTCTATGCTGGCAGTGATAGCACATGCTTTAATCCAAGCACTCTGGAGGCAGAGGCAGGTGAATCTCTTGAGTTTGAGGCCTCTACAGTGCAATTAAGATAGCTAGGACACAGAGAAACCCTGTGTCAAGAAGAAGGTGGAGGAGGTGGGGAGCAGAAGGATGAGAAAGAGGAGGAGAAGAGGAGGAAGAAGAGAAGGAAGGAGGAGGAGGAGAAGAAAAAAAGAAGAGAGATTTTTTTCTTTCATGAGCTTTTACCTCATCCCCTCTCCTAAGCCAAGTTTTCTGTCTTTGTGTGCTCCAAATTCATCAGAGTCTGTGACACCCTATATGCAAGCAACAACTGGGTATTGACTGGCTAGTCCTAGTATGGAAAGTCAAGCTGAAGTGGGTCAGGTGGGAACAGAGAAGATGCATCAGTGATTATGGGGGAAAAGTCTCAGAACTTAAGGAAGATACACCAGAGAATGATGGATGTAAGGTGGGTCTCTCTAGCTGGCACAGGCTAGAGTCTGTAGGTAACAAGAAGGAAATGGAGTCAGACAATTTGGGTGTGAACCAGGCAGAACTTTTGGAAGGAGGTTGAAAATGCAAGACTCATACTACTGAAATACAGATACCTACATATTCGAGTCCTTTTATCTTGCAGAGAAATTTTCTACCCATCCCTCCACGGATATATCACAAGAGGAAAAAGGTGAGTGCTCACCATGTGATTTTTACACACATAGCATCTAACTGATGGCACCTCAGTTGGGCTGTTATACTTAAAGTCACCTCTCCTTTCCTCCACTACTGCTTTCTTTAATGGATTTCAGCTTGTGCCTTCCCCCATGCTTCTGTATTGTGTGTACAGTAGTCTTCCTTGAATGTTGATTGCTTTAAGTTGGAGATGTTAGAGAGCCACTGACATAGACTTCAACAGGCTACATATCACTGACACTGACTTCACAGCTCACTGAGAATCTGAACTCCAGGCTAGCGTATAATTTGTCATTAGCATTATTGTCTAGCTTGCTTGAACTCTGAATCCTCAGGATGATTCATCCATCTGTTTTCTAAAAGAAAGCTATGATTTAATCTGTTCAACAATTACTTTAAAAGCCAGTACCTCTACCTTCCCCCATATGCTAAAAGTATCTCAGTCTGGATCACTCAAACAAGCTAGAAATGTCCAGTCCACAAAACCATCCTTAATTCTTGGGTGTAGTATTTCATAGCAACAAAGGGCTGTTGCCTCTTATTTTCTATCTCTGTAAGAACAGAATTCCCAGTGAAATAGAATCCAAGATCTATTTCCATTTCCATAAGTCTTCCAGAGCCTCTTTATCTGCTCAGAGGCGTGGACTCTGGAAATTTCCATGTCACAGTCAGCATCACATGCCAGCTTCTCAACTTAGGATGGGACTGTTTAAACTTGCTGGTGATAACTGGTTTGTGTCAGGAAGTCTTCGATTCCTGTCATAACCATCAGTCCACTATGATGACATCTGCATTGAGATACCTAGAGTCTCTTTTCCCAAGCAAAGCATTGTTTACTTGTCTGTGTGATGCTTAATTGCAAAGTACACACAGAATGCCTAAGGACTGGAAGAGAAGATCATAGCAATAGCCCTGACTGACCGCATGTATTTTGTCAAAGTCACTGTCTACATTAAACAATGAGCAATAGGGTAACATGGGGGGTTCTAGAACAGTGAACAGCAGAGGGACCACCTCTCAGGTGAGTATATCCTAGATCATGCTTGTCTCCAGATCTCGGTCCAGGACTGGAGTTAAGAGCTGTGACTTCCTGTATCACAGAAGAGAAGAATGAAAAGCCACCACAGTGGATGTTCCAAAGCAATGTGAATTCTACTGTTGCCTCTTAACATTGCAGCCAGCATGGCATCCCTTTGAGTTTTGAATAGAGAGGAGGGAGGCCAGCAAGGGGAGGAGCTGTGGCCCTGAGAGCCTTGGTTTCATTTGATTTTCAGGGGGAGCTACAGAAGGTGATGGAGTTTTCTCTCTGGTGTCACATAGACTCTAGGACTCTGAGCCTTATGGGTTCTTGAATATGATTGGCACATCTTCAGCCCGTTTTTTGTGGCAGCTATGCTGCAGAGGGGTGCTGGTGGTCACGGTTGACACACCCTGGGTTGGCAAATTGAAAGAAAATGACCTAGAGCCTTAAATGTTCAAGAAGAAGTAGAATTACTCATTTAGAAACCAGACCCTGCCTTCTTGCATGACTTCACAAAGGCTCCTCGGGGACTGGTGCCAGCAAGGGGAACTTGCTTTGGTCCGAACAATAGTTTGATGATCCTCTTTTTCTCCTACTAGATGCACAGGTCCATAAAAATAGATATGGGGCAGGGAAGTAGATTTTTTTTAAAAGAGAAACACTTAAGGCAAAATTAACTAGACCAGTATTTTAAATCAAAGAGTTCAAGAGTGATAGACTCTGTCAACAGTTCCTGGGAACTCCCTGTAGGTGCACGAGGCCATGACTTCCACAGGCTTGGGTCAAAGTAAGATTGAGAAACAAGTGTGACTGCTCAGGATGGAAGGTCCTTAGTGAGAGATCAGGGGAGGCCTTATGTGACTACAGTGTCTCCTTTGGTCTTGCTGTTTGCTTCGTCCTCTAATTTGTTTAGGTGGGAACTAAACAAGCCCAGCTGTTCTTACCTATAATCCTCTAAATAATATAACAAGTTCTATAGGCAAGATGGCACATGGCTGGAATCCCAGCACATGGAATGAGGAAGCAGAAGGATCAGGAGTTCAAGTTCAGCCTTAGCTGTATAGTGAGTTCAAGGCCAGCCTGCGTTAAAGTGAGATATATCTCAGAAGTAAGATTAATGCTGGTGATGATAAAACAAATTTAAACAACTGTCATTTGTCTACTTGAATAAATAATTAGATCTTATACTTAATATTGTCACTCAAATTTTCTCTTTCAGCAGAGAACACAGAACTTGAATCATTCTCCAGTTGACCCTAATGTAAGTACTGACTCCTAGCTACAATCTCTGAAAGGCCCCAGCCTTCTCCTTGGTGCTTTGTCTATGACTTGGTTGCCTCTCCCTTAAATGAACTCAACTGTCAGTTTAGGTATGCTGCTGTGGATGAAGAGCCGTCATTACCAAACCTGTCCCACAGTCAAGGCAGGAGGAGTCACTCTGGGTGTTTGGGTCAGAAGCATCCTACTACATGGTTCACTATGGGTTCTCATATCCTTATTTACCCTGAAGGTGGGAGACAGAGTTCTAGATCACTGGAATCCTTGGGCCAGAGCCTGACATGGCAGTGGGCCTGGCTGGCTTTGGGTAAAGGGTCAAGAGCAAATACAGGAGGAGACACCATTTGCAAAGGACAGTGTTTGGGAAGAAAAAACCTAGCATATATCCCGTGTGCAGGTAGAACTCAGGAGGCCAAGCCTCCTGTGCAAGTTCTAGGTCTGGACCTGTCCTGCAGAAAGTTGCCTATAGATTTAGTGGGTTTTCATACAAACCCTGGGGCCAATCTGAAACTGTCACCATTCTCCTTGAAGTTGGGACCAGGAATGCATGTGTTCCTGTACACATATCATTCTGATACATCCTGGTTCCTGTGTTAACAGTGATCATAGGAAAACCCCAGTAACATACCATGAAGGTTGTGAGGAACTCATTTGAATACCTGTCTGAATGGCAGGAGATAGAAACCCACCAATCAAGGATCATAGGTGTTATTAGTTAGGGACTTCTGACGGGGACAGAGTGGAGCAAGGAACTAATAGACAATCCTAGGCTCTTCAGCTAGTTATGGTTTTTGTTTTTGTGTGTGTGTTGTTGATGATGTTGTTACAAGGTTTCAAGCTGTCTTCAAACTCATGATTCTACCGTCTTAACCTCCTCAGTGGGGTACTTTAATACATGTACCCACCCCATTTTGGCCTTCTGACTTTTCCAGCTATTTAGGCAGTATATAACATTGAGCCTTAATTTTGGTGTTATGCCAGGCTTCCTACACTCAGCAGCTGTTTGGTCATAGTCCACTTCTGCCCCTTGAACATACATGTATTTATATACCACACAGTGGATATGTATTTGTCTCTTTATAATTGCTCTATAAAGTCTATTGGTTTTGATAAATAGATCTTACCCTATAGTAACAAAGAACAAATAATGTCAAAGCTTAGCTTTTCTAGATGAAAGCTAACTTTGACTCCAGTCAGTTCGTACACTAATATTTGACAAGAAGTTCAACCTCTGTTGACTTGGGGGATTTTTCCCTTTTGTAGAACAAAGTTTCTTTTATGCTTGCAGAGAACAATGAGTTAACTAGTGCATGTTCATGCTCACCTCCCTTTCTCTTCTCATAGACTCCAGGAAGCCACAGTGGATGGGTCTAACTATAACTAACATAATCTAGAATATACATCCAAAGAGCTTCTCTTCTCAGAGGATTCTTGTCTTAGGGTTTTACTGCTGTGAAGAGATACCATGACTAAAGCAACTCTTATAAAGGAAAACATTTAACTGGGGCTGGCTTTCACTTTAGAAGTTTAGTCTATTAACATCATGGTGGGAAGCATGGCAGTGTGCAGGCAGACATGGTGCTGGAGAAGAAGCCGAGAGTTCCTCATCTTGATGTGCAGGCAGCAGAAGCTTACGTGCCACACTGGGTGTAGTTTGAGCATATATAACCTCAAAACCCACCCCCCACAGTAAAACACTGCCTCCAATAAGGCCCCACCCACTCCAACAAAGTCACACTTCCTAATAGTGCCACTCCCTATGGGCCAAGCATTCAAACACATTAGTCTGTGGGGGGCCAAACCTATTCAAACCACCACAATTCTAGATTGTATCAAATTCACAAACTAACCATGCCAATCTCTCACCCTGGGACATGACTACCGTACTTGGATTTTAGTGACAATGACTCCGTGTCTCACATGCCTGTTATCTTGGGTCTTGAGAGATTTTCTACAGGGTTCCAAAAACCACAGATTTTTTCTTCTTCTTTGAATCCACATGCCTGGTCATCTGTACTCATATCCTGTCATCTCTGAGGCCCTACCACCAGCTCTGGATCCCCTAGGCACAGGAGCCACAGTCAAAAATCTCCTCTGCAGATTCTTTCTCAATTCATGGCATGCTAAGGGCTTACTTTACAGGATGTGGTATTGTTTTAGTTTATTCCGTTAAATTAAATTCCTAGTACATCTCCCTTAGATGAGTCAACATCATCATTGTTATAGAGGCAAGTGGACTTAATATTTTATTTCAGAAACTCCTTTTATCCACATGCTAGGAACATTAGTCAGATTATGTAAAATCATCTTTTGTTGCCAGTTGTCTTAGTTAGGGTTTTATTGCTGTGAAGACAAACCATGACCAGGGCAATTCTTATTAAAAAAAAAATTATTGGGACTGGCTTACAGTTCAGAGGTTTAGTCCATTGTCATCATGACAGGAAGCATGGCAGCATGCAGGCTGACTCAGTGCTGGAGCAGTAGCTGGGAGTTTTACCTCTGGATCAAAAGGCAGCAGGAAGTGACTGTGAGCCACTAGGCCTGGTTTGAAGTACCAAGACCTCAAAGTCTGCCCCTAGTGATGAACTTCCTCCAACAAAGCCATACCTGTATCAAGAAGGCCACACTTCCCAATAGTGCCACTCTCTGTGGTCCTATGGGCACCAATTTTACTCAAAACACTTCACAAGTATTCTGAGTCAGGATCTTTGGTTTTACAGGGAAAATGGTATGGGGTCTGCTTCATGCCTCCCTTCTCCCAGACTTCACTAAAGACCAGGAAGTCTTGTTTTGCAAATTGTGTTCCATGTTTTCCCTAAATATTCCAGGTAGAAGCATCAATGTCATTGTAGACTTATGCAAAGGCCACCTATGGAGGATTGCCACAGTGGCGGCTTTGGGAGTCTCATCATCTCCCAATGATGGAGATGTTCTGTTTTGTAGATTGAGAACTCAGATGAATGTGAGGTGTGTCGGAAAGCAGGAACACTCTTCTGCTGTGATACTTGTTCCAGATCCTTCCATGAAGAGTGTCATATCCCAACAGTGGAAGCTGAGATGTGAGTGGAATGTGGTCCCTTATCTGTCTCCTAGATACCCTTGCCTTGTTGTACACATCATCTTGTGGAGTGGGAGCCTGGGTTTTGAGGTGGGAAACACAAGGGCTCTTAACAGATAGCAAACAGGAAGACCCAGAGAGCTGTTTCAAGATGCTGTCAGCAAAAGGTTAATGTTCTCTGTATTAGGGAGCCATCTCTCCTGATATAAAGGCTCAGTCTTTTGCCTATACATCGATAGAGCCTTTTCTCAAAGTTGTGCACCAAAGCCTCTTGTCCAAAAGACTGGGGGTAGAATACACTAATTATTTGTGTTTTCTATGAACTTGTGAAAGAAAAAAAGCATGACCAACTACTTCCCACATTTCACCAGGTTATAATGAACTCTTGGAAGTTCAAGGTTCCTAGAATTTTTTTGAAGACCAATTTACTGTGCTCAGATCTGATACCCTAGTCTCCTTTTGTTCTCAGTAACCTCTGTCAGGAAATGGGGACCCACCACTTATCATAAGGCCCACTTTCCAAGGACCAGCTCCTTCTATGACAATGCTAGGAGGCTGGCAACTTAAGATCAAAGTGGGGGCCTTCAGAGTCCGAAAGCACAATGGCAGGCATAGGAATGGTGGCTGTTTTCAATGGTCTAGTCCTCTGTTCACTTCATGTCCCACACTTCAGAACACCGTGGAGTTGCATCTTCTGTAGGATTCAGTCCTTAGGAAGTCAACAGAGTCTTCCAGAATCTGAGATACTGCAGAGGGAGATGGTGCCCCAGGAACAGTTGGTAAGTCACCGTGAACCCCATATTTCCTCCTTTCCCCTGGATGACGACTGACAGGCTTGGAGCTAGAAGAATAGCGTCCAAAGAGAGCCTGTTCCTTCAAGCCACACTCCATCATGCTGCTGTTGCAGCATAACCTCTTGGTATAAAAACTCAGACATACAAGTTTATAACCAAGAGACACTCATGTTGGGTAAATTTGCAGATGGGTTTGAGTGGTGTTTTCCCCCTGGGTATGTGTATAAACTCTGCCTTTCTAAGTTACTTTGACTGAGTCCCTTTCCCTTGCAGAGGTGTGAGTATGTTCTCTTGAGAGCCTATCGTTGTTCTGAGAGCTCCTTTTTTTCCAAGATGCCATATTATTATTATGTAAGTAGTGATGGTGAACCCCTGGTTGCTGGCTTCCATGATGTCTCATGACTGAGAGGGCTGTTTGTGGGATTGTGATCTTAATCTGTGAAGAGTGCTCTGTTGTTTCTGTGGGGTTTCTGGGACCCCATAGAAGGTAAATGCTGAGTTGTGGCATTCACTCTCCTATGGCTATTTCTCTTACCAGTTTAGAGAGAGAGCTGTGGGTGTTCAAGAGCCTATGTGGTTGGACAAAATCAAGAAAAAGCTGAGTGACCAGGCTTACTGCCAAGTAGAAGACTTTGTGCAAGACATGAGGCTCATCTTCCGGAATCACAGAATCACATTCAAGGTCAGCAACACCCTCCCCCACCCCAACACACACACACACACACACACACAAAAGAAAATAATTTTAAAAATATATGTATGTCAAATGTGGGCATGGTGGCACAGGATTTTAACCCTAGCATATATGAGCCAGATGTAGGCATATCTCTGAGTCTGACGCTAGCCTGGTCTATAGAGCAAGTTCAAGGACAGCCAGGGCTACACAGAGAAATCCTGTCTGGAAAAAAACCCTCTGTGTGCGTGTGCGTGCGCGTGTGTGTGTGTGCGTGTGAATGTAGATGCCTGTGGGGTCCAGAGGCATCAGTCTGAAGAATTGAATTGGGTCTTTTGCAAGAGTACGATATGCTCTTGATCACCACTCCACCTCTCTAGCTCCTAGCTTAAATCTTTGTGTGTGTTTGGATATATATGATGTGTATGTACTCATGAGTGTGTGCATGTTTATGTGTGAGTTCAGATGTGTTTGTGTGTGTGTATCGTAATATTCTTGACAGTCAAGGTAGAAGGCAAAGTTGTGTGCAGTTTTCTTACATTTCAGCTTCTTTGAGACAAAGCAACTGTCAACCACAGTGGACACCACATGCTGCGTCTTTCCACAGGGTTTGGGGATCTGAACTCAGGTCCTCTCACTTGTGTGGCAAACACTGACCCACTGAGTCATCTCTTCAGCCTGATGAGTTTCTGTTTCTGACTCGCCTTAGGCAGGATTCTCAGAAATACCAAATCTAAGGTTCTTAACACATGAATGAACCATGCAGCTAACGGGGTCCCTCAGAGGATAGAATCACCAAGAGGGAGGAGGTTTCTGTCACTGATAGTGACCACCATCGTTCTTATCTGCATTATTTTTTTTTTCTAGGATCCTAAGTTTGGCAAAATGGGACTTAGACTGGAGTCCAAGTTTGAGACGAGTTTCAAGGAAGTGTTTGCTATTCAGGAAACAAACGAAAAGAGTTGACTGAAATCAGAGTTGTGGCTGGTGTCCTGGCACAAGCTGCACATCTGGTCAGGTCTGCCCACCTGCAGCAGCAATGAGTGTTCTTTACAGACGCCATCATTCCCAGACTGTGGGGCTGTGGAATCCTGGGTGTTCGGCCACACCCCAGAACCCAGAGACCCAACATACAGACCCCTTGCCGTGTCACATAAGGCCCAGGTAGAGGGCGGGCTAACAGGTCACCCAAGCCCCGCCCCTCTCCCCCTTCTAATATAAGCAAACCCCTTCTGACATTTTGGGAGAGCGCCACCATCTAAACCCACCCATGTCAATAAATCTGGACGACTTTATTTCCACGTGTCTCTTGAAATCTTGGACTCATTGTGTAAGTCAAAACCCGAGCGGCGGAGTGGTGGGAGAGAGAAGCCTTTTCGCCAGCCCCAGTGCTCTCTGTGCTTTAGTGGCACGCAGGAGACTTTCTCCTGACAACGGCAGCCCCTGCACCGCCTTTGCAGGGCCCCATCAACAGAGAGTGCTGAGCTGTGGTCCCCGGTGCTCTCTCCATTCCAAGGGTCAAGGCTGGAGCCTGTCTCCAGCTGGCTTTGCTCTGCCCGCACCCCCTCCCACACACTCACACACATATGTTTCTTTCCTTATCTCCAACTCTCCTGAGAGCAATCCACAATAGACCATGAGTTCCAAGACTTCAATCCACATGGTGGCTCATTCCTGCAGTACCAGTCCTTGAGAAGCTGAGGCAGGAGGATAGCTATAAGTGTGATACTAGCCTGGGCTGCATAGTGACTCTCAGCTACCCTGGCTGATAAAGGTTTTGATTCTGGAAAAAAACAATCCACTCACCAAGTAAGGAAAAAAAGTCTCAATTCAGAATCTTTGTCCAGAGACCCACTGTAAGATAATGTCTCAGACACCAAGCCTCAGGGTGGGGTTCTAGAGTTGGGTCACTGTCCAACCAAAGGTGATTGGTGGAGTATCCGTAGGTCCTTAAGTGTTAAACCAGCACTGGGGCCAAATTTTACCCTATAGAAAGGCATTACACACCATGTGAGCTACACACAAAGTGGCATATTTGCTTGTGGATGGAAAGAAGGTCACCACAAGACTGATGGGGTCTGGTGACACTTGCTACGATGCGTTAATAAACGGATATGAGTTACTTAATCTGACAATCCCAAGTAGTCATGAGAAAAGAGTCCCTCACACCTGCAGCCATAAGTCAGACAGCAACAAAGGCATGTGCCTGTCCCTTGTGTTCAGAAAGATAGCACTCCAGAGAAGACTGTGTCCTAGGTTCAAGAAGTGACTTGTGCCAATGTCAGAGTCCTGAGACTCAAAGAGTGGGGCCATGAAATAGATATGTGTGAGGACTTTAAACCTGTTTCCTTGAACTTAATTCTCTGTGAGAGCATCCCTTTACTCTTTCTTGGAAGAAATAGCCATCTGTGTCCTCCATCTTGCTTGAATAAAGATTGGCCTCCCAGATTGGCTCAGTGAACAAACCAAGTATGGAACTGGAAGGCACATGAGAGGGGCTACACATGAAAGGAGCAACAAGCCCAGCAGATAGGAGAGGATAGGAGATTGTGTTTAGGTTTAGATATTGGATAAGGAAATCTGGAAAACTAGACTCGCTAACAGAGTTATCAATAGTTTAAATTATTTTATTGATTGTTCGTGTATTTCCCACTCAATCCCACTCATCTTCCCATCCCTTCCTATTCCCCTCCACCCTTGCAACCTCACTCCCCAAAGAAAACGAACAATGAAAAAAAAATGACAACAAGAACCATCTTGCCATGAAAGCTGCAGAGTGTCACAGTGTGTCACACAGTATACACATTTTCCAAAGAGCTTTTCTTGCAAACGTTCATTGCAATGAGTCACTGGTCTGGTTCAAAGTCTCTGGCTCTGCTCCATCATCAGTACTGGACCCTCCCCATGACACATCTCAGATATTTTGTTGTTTTCTTGTGTCATGGAGATCCTGCAGCTTTGGAAGAGTAGGACTGGTCTCTTCACATGGTCCAGGAGTTCATAGCTGGGGTAGATGATGAAGTGGATCAGGTCAAAGCCCTGTATCTGGTCCTGGGTAGTAGCTGAGTTGGTCAGCCTGCCAGCTCACCTGCACACATGATTTACTGACACTTCAATGTTCTTCTGTGCTGTAGAATCTAATCAATCTGGTGATGGCCAAGGGTCATGAATCTAGACTGTCCCTGGGCAGCTCCTATGTGTTCCTCATAGCTCCAGCACACTTTAATGGGGTGCTGCTTCATTAATGGAACCATGATCACAGACTCAGGGGTACAAACCTAACTAAAGTGGTGAGATGACTCTACTCTCTAGTACTAGAATATGGGTCTGTGAGGTGACTCTGCTACTCAAGGCCACTCAGTGGCATGAACTTAATGAAGTGATCAGGAACACATGGCTGGAATCATGAGCATCTTGGATCAGCTCTTCACTGGTGCTCTCTGAAGGATGAAATAATGGTGGGACCATCTCCCAGTTCCTACTTCCATAGCAAAGATTAGGTTCCAGATAACCAGAATCACTCAAATGTTGAGGCCAGATAAAGTGACTTCTGTGAAGAGACAGGCAGAGACCTTATTTGTCGGTATCTGTCAAGACCTAAAGCTGCTGAAGCCAGGACAATGGGGCAACCTACAAATGTACAACTTCATACATATCATCAAAAGGGTGGTAGGGAAAGAGGGCACATGGTAGAAGTCAGCTATTCTAATAAAAGCTGGGGGCAGAGGGAAGGCTGTGACCAGAATTCCTTGGAAAGTAGACAACTTAACGGATGTCTAAAACCAAATCCAGGCTTGATGCTATCCCTACATCTCCTTCCGCAAAGAAAAAGAACTCTCAGGCTTCTTAGAACATCTCTGACATCTATACTGTCAAGAAGGCTGCTACTAAGTCCAACAGAGTATGTAGTACGTCCATGTCTTTTCCACAGGTATGTTTTGTACTTTGCTGAAACTAGCTCATTCCTGTGAGCAGGAAAGCACAGGGGGGTTTGGTTCTGAGCTGTGTCTCTCCTCTCAAAGGCATGGTTCATGGCTGTGCTGGTCAGCAAAGGGCATGTCACCCTTGAGCATGTAGAAAACTCAGAGGACTTTGTCTGGATCCTCCCATACTTCCAGAATCAAGCTGACTATGGAGTGACCAGGACTCCTTTGCTGCTATTTGGTGAGGAATGAAGAAGCCTGTCTTAACTGTTGGTCACGAAGCTCCTGCCCACAAACTGTTACTCAGGCTGTGACTTTTGAAGCAGAAAACCCAAACAACCTGAGGCTTCTACAAAAGAAAGAACTCAGACAGGATTTGGGAGAGAAGTCAAAAGTTGGGAGGTAGCTAGCCCAGAGTTAACTTCCTGCTTCCCTTTGCCTGAACTTGGGAGCAAGCACAGCCCTGTTTAGGACAGAAAAAAAAAAGAAAGAAAAAAAACCAAACCCTTTGGCAGGAGGCTCTCTGGTGGGTATAGTCAGGTAAAAACATACAAACAAAACACAAAACAACCAGGGTCTGGAGAGTGAAGAGGAAATCTCTAAGAAAAAGAAAGCCCTGGGCTTGTCTGATGCCCAGGTGAACAGAATTCTGTCTGAATTGCAAGCTGAGCCTTGTGCCTCATACACAGATTGCTTGTAACCCAAGCCGTTACAATCACAGGTACCATCTGCTGCAACAATAGCCTAAATTCTGGCATAAGCAGGAGTTGGTCGGTAGCTGCCACCCCAATCAATCTTGACCATGAGTCAGCCTGCAGAACCCAAGAACACTTTTATCCTGCCAAGTGCCATCCAAACCATCTGTCCCATGATGCTTCTGTTCATATCTTTAGTCTTCCATCTGACATTCAACATCTTCCAAGATTGCCTGAAAATTGAAGTTTCCCCACTCCTGAAACCTTTAGTCTACCTTGTTTTGAAGCCATGTTGTGTGATTTTCCCAAGCGTGACAGCCAACATTATATGCTATCCGTTTTAATTACTGTGTCAAAGAGATCTGTGAAGCAAGAATGCCTCTGTGAAACTAGACACATGTTTCTACTCCCCTACACAGGTTTGTTTGCCCTGATTGCATGTTGGCCTTATGGGGCCATCCATTTAAACCTCTGTGAAATTCGCCATTTTTTTTGTGAGCCCAGGAATAGACCTGGCCCAAGTCCATCATTTTGGACAATATCAAAGCTTGCTTCCAATTTGGTTCAAAATTATGGTAGTCATCTTATGCTCACCCCGGGGGATTAACACAAGGCCAGATGTTCTAGATTCTGTATCAAAAATTTTACCAAGATGGGAACTAGGGTGTATGGTGTTCATGGAATGGGGAGACGCTGTTGTAGCATTCTTCTGGAGCTGCTTTGGGGTAAGTAGGTGTAGCAACATTCTGTTCTCTGTGTACCTCACCTCCCACGAGTTACACTTGACTGAGGAGCTTGGCCTTAGGGTCTCAGGAGCGCCAGTCAGACACAGGACAATATAGTGATAGTTCTTCTCTCTCTGTGTGTACTCCTCTTGGTCCCTAAGAAGAAACTGAACCAGCAACATGTAGACATTGGATTCGCATGGACACATTAGCTTTGAGATGCTTTTGCAAAGTCTTGTTACTTAGAGTCCTGCAAAATCATCTAAAAATATTTTATTCCTGATCGAAGTAGAGATGGAAACATGACTAACATGTGGGCACTAAAAGGAGCCCAAAGTCTAACCTTAGGCATGGCCTCAGGCTGCTCTTGTCAGTCATACCCACTCCAGCTCCACACCAGCCTATCCCTGTGCATGGGAGCTAAGGGATGAGAAAGAGCCAATGTCTGTGCAGGCAAGAAGACTGCTGGGAGACCTGTCAGAGTAGAGGCTTACCTCAGTCCACCAAGTCCCTCAGAGAAAGTCCTCCCAGAAGAAGGAATGGAGAGGGACTTGATATATCCAGATGATCCATGAGGGGCCTCCTAGAAAGACTCACTGGAGGTGACAGCTCACACTACTTTCACATCTGCACCTCAGAAGGGTGGACCAGGTCTTTGTCCCCATGCCTCGGGGGCCATTGTTGCAGCTTCCTCCTGCCCTTGGCTTGTAGGCTGGGATGACAAGTCCTCAGAGACAGTGCTCTGACCCAGTGTGTCTATGGAGTTTAGGGATCTCCTCAGCCCCAGATCTGAGGAAATCTTGTCCTGATCAGGATCCAACTCCTGGTTCTCCTGCTGGCCTGAGGGATACCTTGCAAGTGCTTGCCCTTCCTTTCCTGCTGTCACCTTACCCAAGTCACTTCAGCCAGGGACATGACAACCAGCCCTGAGGCATCCATGCTCCCCTCCTAGACACAGGAGCAAGAGAGAACAGTTTCAGTTTCTATGGAGAGGTTTTTGTTGTTCTTTTTTGGTTTTGATTTCTTTTGTTTATTCCCATCCTTGCGTAAAGAAGGCACTCAAGAACTGGATCAGTTTGTCCTGGTATAGTCCTTTGCAATCTTGTAGACCCTGTCTCTCCTCCCACCTGCTAATAACATTCCAAAAAAGAAGGATGAGACAGTGTCCCACAGCACCCTTGAGATTTAAGAAATACTTTCTTTCGTTTCTCTTTTCCCCATCTGGGCGGAGCCCTCTCTGGTGAGTTACTACTCAGGCATGCTTCCTGCTCTCAGTTTTGGGCCAGAGAAGAGAGTCTGGAAGACTGTGTAGAAGCCACAGGATCAGAGCTCACTATCCCAGGCCCTAGGCAGGTGTTGGAAGATGGAAGGGAGTAGCCTCAGCCCCAGGTGGGTCTTTCTCCCTCTGTAACCTTTCCCTCTGACAGCATGGTTGATTTATGTCTTGAGTTAGTGGCCGATGCTTCAGTCAGTCCAGACCACCTGACATGAAGAAGCTTTGGCCTAAGTGTGAGTGGACAGATTTGTGTGAGGGGAAGAGAGAGAGAGATAGAGAGAGATAGAGATAGATAGATAGATAGATAGATAGATAGATAGATAGATAGATAGAT